GCTGTTCTCTCAGATTGATGAATCCCATTTCCTCGTAAATACAGCGCGCGTGCCAGGTGCTTCATTAGCATAGGTACTTAGCATAAGTAACCGCCCACTAATGCCCATATAAGGGACTGCAGGGCCGTGTGCAGACGGCAGAGGAAACAGCAACAGGCCTAAAGCAGAGTTACACGGAGCAAAATAGTCACCCTTTTTTCTTCCTTTACCAGACTGAGAATAAAGTTATAAAATGTTGACTTAAAAGGCGAAATATTATGATAATAAAGTCGAACTAGCAAAATTATGAGATTAATCTAAGAATATGATGAGATTAATCTCAAAATGTTATGAGCTTAATTTAAAAATATATTATGTATTATTTTAAAGATGAATCTCAAAATGTTTTGAGATTAATCTCAAAATATTTTGGACCCTGGGAGGAGATCCAGCGCGGACCAGCGCTGAGACCAATGCAGACCCGAGGAGAGACTGGAGTGACCAGCACACAGAAACCAGCGCGGACCTATAGGAGAGACCGCATAGACTGGAGTGACCTGACTGGAGAGACCGGTGCGCAGAGACCAGCGCGGACCGAAGAGAGACCGCATAGACCAGACTTGAGAGACCAGCGCGGACCCGTATGGATCCAGGAGCATGCAGCACGGACCCGTATGGAGAGAGACCAGTGCAGACCCGTCTAGATCCATGGGAGAGACCAGTGCAGACCAGTATAGATCCATAGGAGAGACCAGTGCAGACCCGTATAGATCCATGGGAGAGACCAGTGCAGACCCGTATAGATCCATGGGAGAGACCAGCGCAGAGACTCAGCGCGGACCCAGTAACCTCCTGCAGCAGCAGTATATATGCCGTTGTTCTGTGGCCCGTGGATAAAGAAATGCCCCCTATAAATAGGAAGGGGTCACTAATACACGGCAAGATTTCCAATGTATTTGATAAAGCGTTGGCACATTTCATTTCAAAATGAATTAAAAAGTAGGCCAGATCTGCAGTGAAAAAGGCGGTATATAAATAAAGATTACTAATAAAGATTACTACAAATAAATAAATACATACATCGATATGACGGACATATCACTGGAATGTTGTATTTTTATTCAACTTCACCAAAGAGGACAACCCCGGCTGTGAACATGTCGGCACTGAATGCGTACGAGTGCTCCTGAGGACTCGTAGGATTTGTACTTGCCCAAGAGAAATTCTGGTTACGAGAAATATTCGTGAATGCCACTTTCTTCGTAAAAACCGCGTAAGTAGGATTTACGTACAAATCTGTTCCTAAGAACCGTTCGTGAATGAGGCCCATTGTCTTGTCTTATGAATTAAAAATCAGCATGATGTGTAATAGTAATAATTTCTTTCCTTTGTTTACCAAATTATATTGTATTGAGAACGGCTGAATTGGGCATTGAATTGATTCTACAAAATGAATTAATTAAACAATTAATCACCGTTATAAGGAATCAGGAAACCGCTATCTTTGCGGTCTGTGCCTGTAGTTCTGACTGTGGAAATGGAAATGGTCACATGATGCTCAGTACAAGAGCAGTCTCAGCCATGTGTGATCACAGCACAATTTGCGCAATTGTGCGTGCGAGTTCTTCAGATTCCAGGATGAGAGGGGCTACCTGTGGCAGCCCTTGGACTCTGCATTAATAAAAATCTATTGAGTTGAATGAGAAAAATGGTCTATTAGCAGTCATTGTTATTTACTGTCTATGCCTATTCCCTTTAGCAGAAAACCGCCCTATACCTTATTGTTTCCACCCCCATTCTTCACAGTGTGTATTGTGTTCTTGGGATGCAACTCAGCAATCTTCCCCCCCCCTTCAAACACTACAAGAGTGTTTTTTATTTGGTCCCATCCGACCACCTCTGCTGGATCATCTAGATCAGTATTTGGAAAACTCTAGATCAGAGGAACCTTTTTGCACTGAATCCCAAGAACACCATACCCGCTTTAAAGCATGGTGGAATTATTATGGTTTGGGACTGCTTTTGTGCAAACGTATGGTAACCTTTTAAACGTAAACATAATTGTTGTTTTTGGGAGTCTATCGCTCATAATAGTAATGCTTTGGTTTTATATACCGCTATTTTGGACACTCAAAGACGCTTCACAATTCACATGTCATAATTCTTTCATTCCATACAAAATGGTGATGAATTACTATGCCCTGCCCTGAGGCACACTGACAGAAGCGAGGCAACCAGTATTTGCCATCGGCCCTTCTGACCACCACCACCCATTAAAAAGGACTCCTCTCCAGTAGACCTTACCGTGGAGGCTGAGAAGCGTAATCCCAAAATATATCCAAACGCATGCTGTCTTGGAACCATCCTAATTATCTCAAGTCTTGCAACTGAAGAGGTTGCAATAGCCTCAGTGGCTTCAGCTAGGAAGTTAGAATTCCCCGTTCCATGACCTTCTAAGAGGAGCAATAGAAGCAACAGGCTCCATCACTGCGCTGCCGAACGGAACGTTTCAAGAGATTTTTCTTTCGGCTGTCAGACTGTACAACAGACCTGACTGAGTCTTCTGCTGCTGGACACCTGAATTTCTTCTATGGGGGATCAATAAAGTATCTATCTATCTGTCTTCAGCCTCTGCTTCCGAATCAGAGAACATGATGGGAGATTGAGGAGCATGGGCAGAAGTAAGCTTGTCCTGCTGATTCTGGGCAGCTGCTTCAGGAATCTTCTTGGCTTGGAATCTGGGCTCAATAGGACTCCTTCAGCCTGATGGCATACCTTTCGGCTGGAGTCCACCAGAGACCTTACAAGCTGCTGCATCTGTATTAGAGGTGGAGAACCTGAAATCACTCACACTCAATGTCCCCTCCTCCTCCAGGACCTGGCAAGGGCCCAGCAAGATGCACATATCAAACTCTCATGATACGCTGCCTACAACCGGCCTTTTCCCCTTCCTCCCCTTCCTTCCCTCCTCTCTCTATCTGTTTATAGGACCATCATTTCTAGGTGCAGCTATAGGGGCCAGAGGGACAACCACCCCAGACCTCCATTATGCTCTGGGCCGCCCTCATGACCTGGCAACAAGTCATTTTCAGGACTTAAAGTTTCTTTGTTTGCGCCCTGAGGTCGGTGCATATTTTTAATTATTTGTTGTAATAAAGGCCTTTGAATTGTTTTTATTTTTCAAAATCTGGGATTTTTTGGTCTTTTATGCTTTTACTCAAGAAGATATAACTTGTGCTTGAAACATACACTCCTTTCTCTAATTGTGCCTCTGGTTGTGAAAAACTGACACATACAGTAAGTATCATGGCTCTTTATGTTTTACCATTATTAAGCTGAGTGTGACTAAAATTCTTCTGATCAAAAAAAGAGTGTGTAAAAAAAGTACACAGGCCAACTCTGCACTGCACAGTTTATAGAATAACATTTACAGCCTTCAACATGCATTATTCTACGTTGGATTCACAAATTGGTTTTGTGGTTATTTTGAGGGTTTTGGCCTTAAAAGTTTATCCATCTCTAAAGCTACTCTGATCTATCCAGCCAGTATCCCATCAGCTTCTTCAACCACTCTCAATCCTCCGTCAACCACATATGTGTGGTCGAAGACAGCATTAAAGACATCTCCTATCTACTGCACATGTATTGTAACATTTGGACAATATTATATTTTATTATTTCATTTTTGATAGTAAAATGAGCAAAAAATACACACAAGACAATAACGTATAGAGTCCGTACACCAGCTCATCAAGTCAGTATTTAAGTCAAACGAAAATAACTGCATTCAATTTAAAGAATGAAAAAAACATTTCCATAGAAAGCACAGTACAAAAAGAGAGGGTTGATTTAAATGGGAAATTATTCAAATGGTGTGTTGGTTTTTATGGCTTTTTGATGATGTTACAGGCCAGTGTGTTGCTTTTATATAATCATTTCGTTCGGGGATTTTTTATATAATTTGTATATATATAAATGTACAAAAACATGATTTATGTGTGTGCAATTTGGTGAGAATGATAAACAGATACAAAATTATAACTACTATTTAACTTCATGTATGAGTATCTTTTTATTTTCAATTTTTTAATATATTTTTTTATCACAAAAGACAAATATACATCCAATGATGAAGACAAAAACAAAAATATTTACATTATATACAGAAACAAATGACATTCATAATGGGTATGATAAGAAATAAGGTATTATATATGATTTTATGACTTTAATGACTAATATTAGAGAGAAAGAAAATAGATATTGAAAATTAGAATAAAGGGGGGCGTTAAAGGGAGACATGAGTTTTTATGGTTGATGTATTAAAGTTTCGAATAATTTGACTGTGGAGTTGGTTTTTTGCTGTTTATAAGGGTTATAGATTTAATGCAGTTGATTTCCGAGTTGACTGCTTGGAAGGATGGTTTGTTTCGTTGTATTTACTTCTATGTTGGATTGTGGTGTTTACCAAATAATATGAATATGTTGGTAATTCTTTCAATTTTATTTTTTTGGTGGGAAATTCTACTACTTCACGACTCCCTCTAATGGCTGCTGTCGTTGTGTCCTTGAGCAAGACACTTTACCCCTCTTTGCCTGAAGCCCCCGCTGAAAGATCAAGGCTCCTGTGGACTCACCACCTGCAGGAGGATCAGTGAGGGGCTGGTGCTCTGTGTACTGGGTGCAGCTCTGACTGCCACCCCCCGACCCAGAAATGGATTAAGGGGAAGAAAATGGATGGATGGATGGATGGTGGGAAATCATATGGGAAATTCATGTATGAGTGTCACTTTCTCTCTCAGTGCCGTGTATGACGTCAGCGCACATGGCACGCCCATGGGTGACACAAGCACGGCAGTGTCATGGGCAGGGTGCTCAGAGGGGGAGGGGTGTCCCGTCGGCAGCACAGACAGCAGGCAGCAGCTGCAGCGAGAAGATCCCAATATTCTCTTCGCTCAAAAACACAGATTCTGCCCATTTAGGTCCAAACATAAAACATCAGTCAGATTTCCGCTTTCAAAATGGTTGACCGTGAGCAACTGGTACAAAAAGCCAGACTGGCAGAGCAGGCTGAACGCTACGATGATATGGCAGCCGCTATGAAATCGGTAAGTAGGCATGAGTTTTAAGACCGGGCTCTTGGGGATTGTATTTAATGAAGTCTAAAATATGACTGTGGGGTACTGACTGGGTGCGCTATGAACGGGCTCTTGTGCGTCCTGGAGGGCTGGAGCCACGGCTGGAGCACATGTGCCGCTCGCCATATTATCCACTGATGGTGAGAAAAGTACAATCGAAAGTGCTGTTGAAACCGAGTAAGGAAGCGCACATGAGCCCCATATATATCCCCGTGTGTGAACATTGGAATGAACCGAGGCGGGTAAAGATAAGGCCCCTCGCCTCTCAACCATCGCCCATGTTCCCATTTGTCGTAAAGAATTGAAAAATGTTTGGGAGAAGACATTCGTGTTGTTACTGATCCATGGAGGAAGCTTTGTGCCGAGCAGGAAGGCTGTGTGGCCAAAGCACACGGCTGTTTGATGTTGGGGCGGTGCCTTTCTACAATCTGTTAGAAACACCAGCTTTGAAATAGAGGAGCGCAATCTTGTTTTGTGCTGCCCACCAATGACTATAAACCAACATGTAGAAGAGGAATATAGTGTGATTGGAGCAGAGAATAGTGTTACTGACAAAGGGGGAGATAAAAGGACACCACTACTAAACTAAAGCCATGTATGGAAATGCAACCGTTTCCCTCCCCCAAATCCTTTCAGATGAGAAATGACTTCACTGTATGTTTAAAGTGCACTATTGTCTTTTTGACTAACGCACTGTTGGTTCAAAGCTGCTCATTTTGCACAAGACAAGTCCACAAGAACAAGCTCTTCTGAGTGTGGGTGGTAGTGGGTGTGCTTTCCACGCATTGTGCATGTCATATTGCAGCAAAAGCTCCGTGTGATGATGATGATGGAGCTGGCTTTTCTGTGGGATCGATGGTGTGGAGCAGGCGCATCTCTGCGTCCTCGACCTTCCACAGAGGCGTGTCGCAGCCTCAGCCAAGATGCGCTCACAGGCCCACCCGTATGCACCATTTTGCCGCAGCTCAGCATTCGCCTAGACTTCATGTAGCCATATCTGAAGCAAAGGATCACTGAATACAGACAGTGCTCTTTGTGGTCATTCAACATCCCAGCCTTTGGAATTCTGTATTTGCATACATCAAATTAACTGTGCTGCTAATATGATTTTTTTTCATAGAGCATACATTATACTTCCCAACCAAATTGCATTCAAGATAAAATTCATATTAATGCATATTTTATATCATGAAATGATAGTATTTGAAAGCTATGGATGAAGAAAAGCTCACAGGGGTCATGCTCCACCCTCTGGGGCTGTGTGCAAAGTCTGCTCCTTCCTTGGTCAGTCTCTGCAGCAATGTACAATGGGGTGTGTCTGGTCCTGTCAATTCTGGGGAATTCCTACTGTTGGCACAGCATTTACTGCACCTGAAAATAGTCTAGAATCTCAAACATCCTTGTTGTTAATTGTTCGTCATAAACAAATAGTTTGCCTTTAATTGGGACTTGTTTTATCAATAATGCAAAGACTGTCGGTCTGTGTGTCTGGAGTTCACATCTCACAGACTGATCGACTTAAATCTTTGTAAATGGATTGTGAATGACCTAAAGGTGTGCATCTTTTGTTTTGGCTCTGGTAGTCCTAGCTAATCCAGGCTTCAACATCTGGAGATGGGTCTCTGGGTGCTGCACTGTGGTGACCAATCCTTCTGTCAGGTTGCCTTTAGGGGCATTGACAGGTCAAATGCAGAGGATGCATTTACCTATGGTGACGATGAAGGAAAGTATTCTGAAAGGGATGTCACCTTGCTAATTGGTGACAATATCTTCAATGACACAAAATTTACATTTGAGCTTTAACATGCCATGGATCTATTATAATATCTGAATAGGGTATTACTAGCTTGGAGCTGAAGAACCCATGCACTCAATTCACATGGGCGACCTAGAAATGTTCCCCATAGAACTTAATGTAAACTAAAACAGCTCGACCTCAGCTGACAGAGAACCTACAGCTTTCATTTTGTGGGGATATTAGTGTCCCTTGTCATCCTGAACTTTTTTTTTCTTCAATCCTTTGGTTTTCTTTAGATCTGTACTTTATTGCCACAAATGCTGCTTGGTTTTCCCCTGCTCTAACTTCCGCTCTAGCTCTGCTCTGATCAGCAGCGATTGGTCAAAGCGCGGCTGAGCCCCTCTCTGAACGTGCATGAGAGCCACACATGCATATTTGGCGCATGGCATCATCGGAGCTGGGCGAGTTCCGCTTATCTTTTGGTCCCCGCGGTGGCCCATGTGCCACTGAGCACAAGCCATTGATTTGAATAGGGCGCCATCTTGGATCACAGAGGCTTGTAACATGCTCATGTTGAAGACTGGCTTCATACCGAGTGGAGACCTTTAGCTTCCTGAACATGATCCACTTCATCATGCAGCTTGAGACACTGGAGAACTGAACAAGTGGCAAAGCCACCAACTTTCACAGTAAAACAAAATGGCCTCTCATTCTTTATGATGAATCCACTTGAACTGTAAACATGACAGCAAGACTCATGAACACCTCATGGTTGTGGATGAAGTGTCACTGATGTGCAGCCAAACAAAGATCACATGAAGGTGATGCAGAAGCTCAGATACGTCTCAATCATCTAACAGTAAAGATGAGGCTGTCTCAAGTTGCAAGACACCAACCAGAGAGAAAATCCTTGACCTTGGCAAGATGGAAATGGTTTCAGAAGGAGAATTCTCAATTGAACTCCACAACACACAGACAATTCCTGGTGACAAACTAAATGTAAATTGGGTGTATGACCAATTGTTTGTCATACATTGTTTGTCATTATACTCAACAAAAAATGGTTGACAATAACACAGTTAACGAGTACATGACAAGATCTTTCCATGAGAAGAACACGTTTGCAACGACAGTGCAGATTGTGATACATATTTTCAAACACACGCCTTCCTCCTCATCTCATTCCTTTTGGAATGGTGTTCATGCTTCTGCGACACTTTGAAAAATACCCCACCTCTTAATTGTAAAATCCTTTGTTGGTGTCACTGCTGCACACTTAATTCCACAAATCACATATGTCCCCTTGCAATGTAAAAAAAACACACAATGAGACCTTTTTCCATGATTGTGAATAAGTCACAGGATTAACCTTTACAGCCACGGACAATCCTATGTTGCCCCCAGCTGAGTTGGAAGATCAAACAGACTTAGTATACGCTCTGTAGATGTAGAAACTAAAGAAATAGCAACACTTTGAGGTTTTACTGACATCAGTATACCACACAAAGCAACCTTTTGAGACAGTTCTTTGGACATCCACCCAACACTTAATTAAAAACTAGTACAGGTCCAGCCATGGTTGTATCTTAGTCCGATGAGGTTCATTTGGTCTCGTGTTTTTTTTTTTTTTTATCCCGCCACACGCTTCATTCACTGAGTCGCAGAGATCTTTTACATTACCTTAGCGAGGGTGGTCAGATTTTTAGATCTGCTTTTTTAGAGTCCAAAAATGCATGCATGTGAAAACTAGTAGCCGGCTTTGTATTATTTGTTGTGCATTTTACCCGGCACTATTTATATTGTGAATTACTAGTATAAAGTATTACTAGTTTGTGTGTTTTATAATATGGTTCATAGTTTCTTGTGACCATGATCATCCCCTCTCCATGATTACTTCTTGTGACATCATGTACAAACAAATATGGGATTTATTTGTCTCAGTTTCGCCCTTACACATTTTTAAAGTTTGGATTTAAAAAAAAAGTGTGAAGAACTTGTTATGTTAAAACACTAGAATCTGTTTTGTAAGGTGCAGCCTAGAGTTTTTGTGCTGCCGAGAAGAGGGTTGGGCAGCATGGGGGTTGTCAAATCATTTTAGCACACCCTGCCAATGAGGAAATAAGACGGAAGCATGGCGTGAAAAGAGTACGGTGGCTGTGGTAGCAAACAGAAATGGCGAGCTTTGAGTCCTATCTCAGCCTCACTTCTTCAAATATATTTGCCTATGTTCTGTTCGTATTCTGTTTATCTGATGGTCATGCAACGAGCTGCTCGGGGAAGTCGTCCATTGTACTTCCTGCTCTTTGTTTGAATTGATGCTCAGTTATTTGAAAGTTTTACTACTGTACATTGTACAAGGATGAGTCACGAGAGAGCAGACACGATTGATGAGCATTATGTGTGGACAGAGCCCTATTGTCGTCCCTGCTGCGTGGCTTTCATCAGAGCTCTGCTTCCATAGCGGGCTGCTGAAACACAAGGAAGCCACCATGGTTTTTCAGCCAAGTTTAAGTAAGAGATTGAAATGTTTTAACTTTTAGATTGATGACAAACTTGGAAAACCTCTTGCTTCAACTTGGGTTGAATATTTCTTTTGGTAGAGCAGCAAGAGCACTGTGACCCAAACGTGCTTCTGAGTGACAAGCTGGGGGAAGGGGGCTTTTCCTCTGCACTGTGTGTAATCATTACACAACCACTGTCCCATTGTAATGCCTGCTTTTACTGCCCAAGTACATAGGTCTTTTTTTATTGGGGTTGTAAAAAGTTATATATCGGTGTAAACTAAGGAAACAAAGGACATGCTGTATTTTCAGTTTGTGGAACAAAGCAGATGCATCTTTTATACAAGCCCTAAGGGGTTTACAAAGAGAGCAAATGTAGCAATATAAGTTTCCTGAAAAATAAATGTATAATTTTTCTTTTTCTTTCTTGTAGGTGACGGAGCTGAATGAGATTTTATCTAATGAGGAAAGGAACCTGCTCTCTGTGGCGTACAAGAATGTGGTGGGTGCAAGACGTTCATCCTGGCGTGTCATCTCCAGCATTGAACAGAAGACAACAGCTGATGGTAACGAGAAGAAGATTGAGATGGTTCGTACTTACAGGGAAAAGATCGAAAAGGAGCTCGAGGCTGTTTGTCAAGATGTGCTCGACCTCCTTGACAACTTCCTTGTCAAAAACTGTAATGAAACGCAGCATGAGAGCAAAGTCTTTTACCTTAAGATGAAAGGTGATTACTATCGCTACCTTGCTGAGGTAGCAACTGGGGACCAGAAGACCACTGTGGTTGGATCTTCTGAGAAGTCCTACAGCGACGCTCACAAAATCAGCAAGGAACATATGCAGCCCACTCACCCCATCCGCCTGGGCCTGGCTCTCAACTATTCTGTCTTCTACTACGAGATCCAGAACGCCCCTGAACAGGCATGTCTTCTGGCCAAAGCTGCGTTTGATGACGCCATCGCTGAGCTGGATACTCTGAATGAGGACTCCTACAAAGACTCCACTCTGATCATGCAGCTGCTACGAGACAACCTGACCCTGTGGACGAGTGACCAGCAGGATGACGAGGGAGGAGAGGGAAACAATTAGCTCTAGTCCATTCTGCCGAACAACACAACATGTGTTCTCACAAATTATGACAAAATTATATTAGTTTAAAGTTTTTAGAAATTAAAAACTGGGGATGACTTAGCTGGTCAATGGTACTAAAAGGCTGCTGTTCTTTTTTTTTTTCTTGGGTTGTTTTTCTTTCCCTTAAGTGAATAAAATTGAAGGGGTAGTATTACACTTGAGAGGCTACACAAAGTAGAATGAACCTTTTCCTTTTGATTGTCTCTGCAGCCTATGCTAAAATGTAGTTTACAGTATAAGGTTTGACAATGATCTAAAAGTGAGCCCACTGTAGGCAAAGGTACATCCACAGAGGTAGTGACAGGGTTTCAATCATTCTGATCTGTAAGGATCTTCGAGAGTTACCGTTTGTAACAACATACTCTTGAGTTCCATGGCCTTGCCCACTGTAGCGAGTACAGTCGAAATACAGTGGTGAACCAGAGGTGTCAGACTTTATTATGTAACTAAAGCTGTACCAATGATGCATCTTCAAATGCAACTATTATTGTGGAATGAAGCCGGTTTTCTTGGGTATGAAAGGTAACAGTTAAGTCATGTCAGTCATGTTTGCCTTGTGTCCAGTATGTGTCCAGTTCAGTCACAAATCAAACTGTAACTTACAAGTTCATGGAGTAAACTTAGTGCAGCTTGTCCCTCTCATGTGCTGATGTGCTTTATTAAATAAATTAACCGTTTTTGGACACCTCATTATTAGTCAGAATTGTCATTAATGTCATCTTTGTATCATCCCACTGTTTTCCATAATAACACAACCTTATTAGTTTTATGAAATGGTGTCCTTGTACTGAATCAGCCTGACGAATTTACAGAAACAATGTCACATGTGGATTTGCTGCCATTTGCATGATCTAACATTTGTTTTTGTTAAATATAATGAATATCAATTATCCTGAAAGTGTTGTACGGGGTCAGTTCTCATAAAACAAGTAGGATAACTGACTTGTAAAAGGAATCCTGTTGGGGAGGGTGCCAACTACTCAAGAGATTACTTACTTACTTTCTTATTATATTTATTTATATAGTGCTATTCACAGACCAGAGTCACAAAGCGCTTTACAATTGTGGGCATTTGTCTCTCACTCCACACAGAGAGCGGCGTTGCCAGTACAAGAGGCACCTGCCAGAACTTGTACATGTTTTAGTGGTAGGGGAAACCGGAGGAAACCCTTTGCAGACACGGGGAGAACTCCGCTGGAAAGGCAAAATAATCATTAATATGCATGCTATAATGTTAGTAGTGGCATATACCAGTGGTTATTTATAAATATCTATTTGAAAGACATCGATATTGGCGTTAAATGATATTGACATTTGGAGAAGATGAACTATAAAAATCCTATAGGAAACACTTATTTTTCTATGTTAATTCACAAATGTGGCAGGTGGCTGACCCCTCCCTTTAGAAACTTGAGCCTGAAGCTCCTAATACAATGCATAGAAGGAACATCACATGTTAGACACGCTGAACTGTGAAGAGTTATATAAAGATACATAATTGTGGAAAAACATAAATACAAACTATTAAAGCATACACTAAAAGGGATCAAAGTTTTTTAGCCCAAGCGATCCTCGACCCATGTGCAGAAGGACGCAGCATGATGTAGTTCTGAGGGGAGTCTCAGTCCTGTGACTGGATGACGGTCACTATACGGATCTGTTTCACTGCTTTGTTCTCTAGTGCGTCACTGGAGTGTTTATGGAAATGCTTTTCTAAAGTGCAGTCTGGTCTAGATCTGTAGCAGAACCTCGGCCTTGAAAAGCTCTGCACATTACTTATGATAAAACTTGCATACTAAACATATTGACACACTACCCCAGCAGTGCTTGATGCACTTGAATACCGATATTATAGGGTTAAATGTAATTTGTGAAACTTTCCACACCAACCACGAACATCTCCATAGAGAAAAGTAGATGGTGGACCTTCCACCAGAAAATCATAACTAATAATCTTGGACCAGCAGGTTGAGTCTGGGGGGATTCAATATCCCCCTGGAAACCATGGGAAGTGAAAGAGACACAATAGGGCTTTAGCTGGCCTTGGAGTTACCTCTAACTTGTTAGCAGTAAAATAGGACTACAGCTATCTTCCCAGTGCGACTCTCAGCATGGCTCAGTGCATAGCTGGGCTTTCCATAAATAGCCCTCCCCTGCAGCTCTGGAGTTGGGACAGTTGGCGTTCATAAAGGCTGCATGCCGCATGAATGAGTGACAGGTGTCTGACAGGTAAGATATGACCATGTTAGCACAGCAAGTCAGCAAATCATTATGATGATACAATTATGATCGTTAAATATTATTTCTAAAAACGTATTTAGAACATTCAATGTGTCTTTTTATTTAATTTTTTTTTTTTACAAATTCTCTTTTTTGTAGAAGATCACCTTAAGCCTTATTTTATAATAGTACGTTCTAAGACACTAAATACTGCATTTACTCTGCACTGGGTGGTTTTGATAGCCACAGTTGCCCTGGGGCAGCAAGTAAAGCTGCCATCAATCCATCCTTATCCATCCCCCCATTATAGACACAACATTATGTACTGGAGCCACTATTGCTCCACTCTATAGCAACTGCAGTTCCCATCCCAGTCCAGGCCCAAAGCTAAATCTAGGATATTGCACCAGTGCAGCAGATCACAAGATTACAATTATCTTTGTTTTTGTTCCTTTAGAGAGCATCCCCAAATGAATATTGAAACATGATTAACAAAACCAGAATTTTGATATAGTTATTTGCCGAGATTAATGTTTAATCTAGAGGGATACATAGGTGACATGGTGATTGAGTGGGTAGCACTTCACATAAGGAAGGTTGTGGACTCAATACAGTGTGGAGTATTGAATCCCCCTTAAACTGGTTACGTAGGTTAAAAACTCTGTGACCAAGAACATCCACATGACTGACAGAAGGGTGGGTCACTTAAGCAATACACCTTGACGGACTGATACTGTGCCTTTCACATTACATCTGCTGTAGGGCCTGGTTGATAAACGGTGCAAATGTGTATGACACATCACTGTCTTAATCTTTTTCTTTCTTTCTTTTTTTTTTCAAATAGACAACAGTGCAATACTGTGAGTCACTATAACCCTTGGGTGTGACAAGTGGAGGGAGTTCTGATAGCAGGAGCTCTCAAGGAACAAAGAACACATTGAGAAATGTCCATGATTTTAGGAAAAAAAAAACATGCTTTATTTTAGTTTGTTTTGTGTACAATAATGACTCTTCACTTGAAACCACAGTTTAATCATGACATATTATCCTGTCATAGGTTACATTCTATCAGTGACGCATTCCACAGTGTTTTATTAGGCCCTATCCTGTTGCCAGAGCAGAAGAGGGCACTCCCAGATTAGTTGGATTACAAGTCTCTTCATGTTAAGTAAAGTGCATAGTATGAATGTTTTTGGGATGTTTTTACTTCTTTGCTACTGCACTTTTATCAACTGTAACAGGAATGGTGGTTTCAGAGGACTCCAGGGCCGCTCTGGCAAGCGGGGCCTCGATAGTGAGCACTCCATCTGGGGACAGGGATGAGGTCACCTTCTCCACGTTGGCAGAGGATGGAAGACTGAGGAGAAACATCATCAAATATGAATATCATATTTATAACACTGGTCAGGCTTGTTCTGAGTGTGAAGGCAGTTCCCTGGTCCGGCCGCATGATGGCAGCAAAGTCTTTCTATAACGAGACTAGGACAGGCCTGTCCCCACCGGTCCCCACGCAGAGCAAAACAGACACTCATTCATTCTACCATTATTACTACTGCTACAACTACTACTACTACTACTACTACTACTACTGCCACTGCTACTGCTGCTACTACTACTGCCTCTGCTACTGCTGCTACTACTACTGCCACTGCTACTGCTACTGCTACTGCTACTGCTGCTACTACTACTGCCACTGCTACTGCTGCTACTACTACTGCCTCTGCTACTGCTGCTACTACTACTGCCACTGCTACTGCTACTGCTACTGCTGCTACTACTACTGCCACTGGTACTGCTGCTACTACTACTGCCACTGCTACTGCTGCTACTACTACTGCTGCTACTACTACTGCTACTACTACTGCCACTGCTACTGCTGCTACTACTACTGCCACTGCTACTGCTACTGCTACTGCTGCTACTACTACTGCCACTGCTACTGCTGCTACTACTACTGCCACTGCTACTGCTGCTACTACTACTGCTGCTACTACTACTGCTACTACTACTGCCACTGCTACTGCTGCTACTACTACTGCCACTGCTACTGCTGCTACTACTACTGCTGCTACTACTACTGCTACTACTACTGCCACTGCTACTGCTGCTACTACTACTGCTACTGTACGAGTAGTAGCAGCAATAGCAGCAGTAGCAGTAGCTGGTACTGCTGCTACTACTGCTACTACTACTGCTGCTGCTGTTATTGCTACTACTACTGCTATTACTACTACTGCTACTACTACTGCTGCTGTTATTGCTACTACTACTGCTATTACTACTACTGCTACTACTACTGCTACTGCTGCTGCTGCTACTGCTGCTGTTATTGCTACTACTACTACTACTACTACTACTGCTGCTACTGCTACCACTACTGCTACTACTACTGCTGCTACTACTACTACTACTGCTGCTGCTGCTGCTGCTGCTACTACTGCTACTACTACTGCTGCTACTACTACGCGCTGTTATTATCATTTCTACTACTACTGCTACTGCTGCCAGTACTGCTGCTACTACAGAAACTACTACTACTGCTACTGCTGCTGTTATTGCTACTACGACTACTACGACTACTACTACCAACTTCTGCTGCTGCTGCTGTTATTGCTACTACTACCACTACTGCTACTACTACTACTACTACTACTACTACTACTACTACTACTACTACTACTACTACTACTACTACTACTACTACTACTACTACTACTACTACTACTACTACTACTACTACTACTACTACTACTACTACTACTGCTGCTGCTAATATTACTCCTACTGCTGCTGTTATTGTTACTACCACTACTACTACTACATAAGGAACTTTCCAAGCCTGGCCTTAGTGTGATAGGACTAGGCTAATTATTACTATACTTTCACACATTTTGTTATTGAACATCTCTCATCAGATACTCTATTCCACATGTCTAAAACAGTTAAATGTCTAAAAAAGTCACTGCCAAGTTGGATGCACCACTACAAACATTGGCGTGGGGTCTATTCGTGAGTCAGTGATATTATAATAGATAAAGGTCGGACGGATATATTAAGATAAACTTACGTGTATTTCCTCGTGAAGCATCTGGACACAAAGCCGTGCTCGTCCTTCCTCTCCTCATGTTTGCCTTTAAAAAATGAAAATGAACAGACGTTAGAAGGTATTTTGTTGACATCATACAGTCAGTGTATGAGTGTTTCTCCCTTGTGCCTGGTGGTCTTAAAGGCATTGTCTCCCATGTTATACCATTGATAACAAATGGTCGCACTGTGTCTGATCAGAGCTAATAAGGTGCATTACAACTGCACTTGGCACCTAGTAGTTCTAATTAAGAATGGATCCAAACAAGGACAGAAATCATGGTTGAACTGTCATTGCTCCATGGTTAGAGGAGCGCTGGTTTGTCTTGTGTTGAAACTGTTTTAGTTGATCGATTTTACACTGACAGTTGTTTCCTGCACTTTTTTGTTAAAGTTTGTTTTCATTTCTGTACTCTTAACCTTGTTTTATTCATGTATTTGTCTGGTGCACACTGGGGATTTTCGCAAATGTATTCCAATGTGGTTTTACTGCAAATGGCAAATAAATGTAATCTGACTCTTAGCTCTAAGACATACAGTGTCTTCAGCGCAAACTTAAAGATGTCTATATCTGCAGCCTTCCCTGTCAAATCGCCCTGGGCCTGTGGAAAATGTGAGGTGATAAATCCCCTTGGGCTGGGGGTGGGACCATGTTCATTCTCTGGTCAGTGTCCAGTGGATTAGGATTGTTATTGTTAGGAGCGCTGCCCAAGAGAGGACTTGGAGTTCATCCAAGACTCCCTTTAATGTTCCAAACACAGTACTCTACACAGTGTGATAAAACTAGATTTACAACAAGGATCTAGAACTAGTCATTTCTCATCAACATGACATGCTCAGGTCGCTTCATTCTAAGTGAGTAAAAGTGTGGCTTGGAGCAGTCAACTGAGTGAGGAGGGAGGAAGGAATGTTACAATATTAAATCATGCTTTAATGCCAATTATTTAAGGTTTAGGTTTAGTGTGTTTCTGTTAAGAGAAAGAATACTGAAGGTCATAGACTTCAAATGCTCATAGCTTTATGTCAATTGCAACTAAGCAAGACAAACTTAAACTAAAGAAAACTAAAGAAAACTTGTACTTACATTATTGAAAAGATTGTTTTCATCTTATTGAAAAGTTATACAGTCATAATAACAGTATACATATTATTTAATTGACCATTGTTGACCATTATTGCAATTATGTTTTGGAAAACCAGGAGGATTTTGTGTGTTCTTATCTTTTAGCAAAAACAGGACTGAAATAGTCGCCCACTTACCACTGATCTCTACAACTCCATCTTTGGTCTTCACCACCAGCTCCTCAGGTGAGAAGTGGTTGACATCCAGAGACACCTTCCAGCTGTCCTGAGTCTGTTTGATCTCGGACATCCCAGTGCTCATCTGTCTTGCCAGGGTGCGGGCCTGCTGCTGGGCTATGGCAGGGGCTGGGTACACCATGGATCCCATCATGGAGCTCATGTCGTGAGGCAGGAATGGAGGCCTGAAGTAGCCGGGCCAGTGAGGAGTGTGGAGCGCTTCTTCTGTCAGTGCAGGCATCCCAAAAGTCTGGTCAAAAATGCGGCTGTGCCAGTCACGGAAGGGGTCCCAGCTGGGAGAGCGTCCCAGGGAGAAGGGGATCATTCTCTCTGCCATTGCTGTAGAGTTGAGCCTGAGCAGTCTGAGGGGAAAGCTCTTGAGTGAGTTTGGATGCTGTTCCTTGTGAATCGACTGCACACTGTGAGCTTTTATACACAGACACCACCCCGAACCCCGCAATCTTCCACATGACTGTGGAACATACTGGAATATCTATTTGTGGAGGACGTAGTAGCCCAATGGAATCTGACAGGAAGGCCCTCCCCAAGACAGCTGCCCCGCAGCCCAGCCTGCCCCCTCCTCTGGCTGCACAATCACACACACTCACTCTGGACATTTAAAGAGCCAGAACAATCTGGACTAAGCTGTAACTTGTACCTTGCACTAATACTCTATACTATAAATACACATGGAACTTTCCAGTAGACCTAAACATTACATGAGTAATTATGCTATTTTGATCCATCCTATTCATTGAATATATTACTATTGACTGCAATAGTATGAACTAATTTGACATATTGTGGTCATATGTTTTATGTACATAAACATACAATCCAGGTTAGTCTAATCTTATTAAAACCAGACAGCTGTTTATTTGTTCCCAAGAACAGCAACACTTTCCTTATCAGTTTAAAATCTGATACATGTTACGCTAAAGTCTCATCCTGTTCCCGTTTGTGCATTTGCAGATGAATCCTGTTACTATGAGACTTAGGACACAATGACTTTTGTGTGGTTGATTCCCCATTTCAGTTTATTGTCAGGTATAGTTTTACACAACAAAGGATGCCATTAACAAAATGGGCAATGCTAGAGTTGCAGTATATTCTCTCTTGAATCAGAGGTAAATCTAGATGTTACTGCATGGATGGCCAAAAACACATAGAGGTATCCTTGAGTGCACTTAGTTAGGGTGGCTATATAACAACAGCAGACAGAAAATACAAACGTAATGACACCTTGGCCTCCTGGGATGGGTTGTTTTTCTCTGTTCACCATGAAATTAAATGGAAAATACCATCTCTTTATAAAGCCACAATAGCTTCATTAGAGTTCATTAGAGCTGTAACAATAGTAGAAAGATGTGATGGCGGCAGTAGCAAGAGACCAAAGAATATGCTCCATTGGTCACGATCAACTCACATGTGTTGTTCCATCAAGTTTCAAATGGATTTACAGCAGTCGCAATCTCATCTCGCAAGACATTGAGACATGTTGCTTTACATCTTTAAATAAGTTAAACATTAAATAAATAAATACATAAATAAATACATAAATAATAAATACATTTCAAAGGTTGATAAATAGTACAAAATAACATGTGCATGGACAGTATTTGCAGACAGTTTCATACATAAAGGTCCCAACATAATTCTGTTCAGTGGAAGAGGAAAGAATTACAACTTATTTTTTGCGTCATGCTTTCCCTCGAACAACCTGCCCCTGGAATTCAATGGAATATACAGTGCATAGTTTACAAAGCCACAACTTAAAGGATCTGTACAGACAACCTGTACAATACATTTGTGAGCATAAAAAGTCCCTTTTGCCACGTATTTGTTCTCACTTTTGTTCATGTCTGTGCTTTGACAAAATTGAACTATTCGGAGGCAAGCGATTATAAAAACTCCAAATGGTTAAATCTGTAGAAAAACACAGTCAAATCCTTCATGATGCATTACGTCCTGATTAAAAAAAACAAAACAAAAAACACTTGAGTTTATATATATATATTTATATATAAGTACATGTCTATATATAGATTTTGTATTTTATACGCTTCAAACTCATTTTTGGTTGCTTGGTGGAAGAAGAGAAGAAGTGCTCTTAAGCAGATTTGTTCTATAGACTTTCCCAATCACTTTTCCTCATTTGATATCTTGACTAATAACGGGGTTGATCCATTCCAGATATCAAAACATATAGTATTTGTTGATACAGGCTGTCGCACATATAAACATGGAAGTCTAGAAGTCTTCCTGCCGCCCAGGATAGTACAATGCATTTGGATTTGGCTTCAAAAGCCCGGGCTGTCGTCGCTGCTGTAGTAGCTGTGGTGTGTGCGGCTGCGACTGCGGCTGCGGCTCCAGCTGCGGCTGCGGCTGCTGTAACTCCGGCTGCGGCTGCGGCTGGACGGGCTGCTGCCAGAACTGGATGAAGACGGACTGGGCCGATAGTACGGGATGGGCCTCTTTCGAGCACTACACACAAAAGACAAGATGTGAGAAGAGATACGGGACCCGGCGGGCTGTGTTAGCGGGGCTGGGCATGACGTTAAAGCACTTTGATCTATTTACCCCACTGTAAAGGCAGTAGGGCAGACCTGTCTTTTTTCAAGGGCTGCAGCGTATAATAGTTTTATCAAATCAAGCCCATGTGCACCATGGGAGATAAGGTTGTATTTTATTACCCTTTGATAGTTGCCCATGTTTAACCCCCTAATGGGAAACACAGTTTTCACCTCACCTTTGAACATCTAAAGCGTGTTTCCAGTAAAAAAAAAAGACCAGATCAGTATCCAACTGATGTGTAGTTAGGCCACAATAATAGAGTTACTGATGAAATATTATTATTATTATTATTTCAAGTTTGAAGCCTATGCTTCCACCAGAGAGAGTTGAATTGGTTTTGTTTATTTTCCAAATTTACCAATTGTAAAAAAATTGATACATTTCAATACAAATTAAGGGACACTTCTTCCTTTTAAAAGGCAGAAAACTCTAAACGTGATGTCAGAGTGGCACAATGACATCATACTATTACAGGACTGATTTACAAACCAAACAATATTGGTTTAAAGCGACAATAAAGATTTTGCATAATATATCCCTTTTAAATCTGCAGTAAAAAGTGTCACACAATATATATTTGTATTAGAGCCATAGTCAGGAATTTGATGAATTAGGGTTTTTAACTGTCTTATTGCCCAGCCCCAAAGTTTTAATATCAACATTACAGTTAAGAACACATCAGTGTTAGCTTTGCAGTGCAGCGTCTGAAAGAAAGATGCGTGTGGGTTAGAAAGGACAAAGCTGTGAAGTCACATGGTGCAGATAAATGGTAGTTGTTAGTTTATAAACGCAGAATCCCCTGTAAGTAGCCACCCTGTGTCTGCTGTAATGAAAATTACTACAAGCTCAAAATGAGCACTTTCTTCTCTGTGGAGAAGGGTGAGACATCGATGATATCAAGGAAGGTATGTCTGCTGCTGTGAGCTATCCCCTAACTGCCATTTAAACCAGCATTAAGATAAAAAAGTGTTTTGTTTTCTCTTTCTGTCTCGTACTCTCCCAGCAGTAGAAATGTGAGATATCTGCCAAAAGCCTTGATAACATTTTTATCTCAGCCCCAGATGTTAAAGCATTAGTTCACAAAGGTAGTTATTTGTTGGTGCCAAATTGAATGTGGTTAAAGACAAAGATGAAGGCGCTGGAGCAGAGGATAGAGAAACCAGGAAGAGGCCGGCTTTTACTCGAGAGATATAGGTGGGTTTTGTTGAGGAGTCAGACTTAGAAGGGGCTCTGCTGCACAGCAACAGTTACCAGGGTAACTAGCCCGCAACATGGATCTGCAGATTCCGGTTGTCGTCAGGACCTTTAGGACTGGAGTGAGAAAAATGATTATATAGATATACTGTAGAATATCAGAGGGACATAGCAGGCAGAACATGTTTGTGTAACAAATATAATTGTGGTTCTGAATGGGGAAGACAAAAACACATCAACATCAGTTGTTTAGATTCAATATTAAAAGCCCTTGAACTTAAAGAAGACATAACATGCTTGCGTCTGCTACATATGGATAATCCATATACTCTTTTCTCATTATTGTATATTCAATGCTTTTGAAATCTCCACACTTCTGTATTCAATCCTGCCATATTGTTCTGTGCTCTGCTCCTTAAGGAATATAAATGACTTGAACATTTCTATCTGTGAAAAGCCATTTTGGAATGTTATACCCCCGTTAAAATAACTTTCTGCATAAGGCTCTTAATATAGAGTAGGCAACAATAAATAAATTAATGAACATAAAAAATAGACTACAGAAAACATTTTCATATCTAGCTAAGAAAGAACAACATGTGGTCAGTAGTCCCTCGTAAGCGTACGCTGAGGTGTATTCATTACCTGGTGATCCTGCGAGCCTCCATGAAGCTGGGAGAGTCTCTTCTTCTTTTGCGTATGGGGGAGTAGCTTCTGGAGCGGCGGCGCGCTCTGCTGTCTGTGTCTGAGTGGTTTGCACTGTCACGCTCCCTATAGAACACACAAAGGACACTCACTGACCTGATTCTAAAGCCTATTCATGAGATGATTTCAGCCAAGCCTCAGACCTGGAGTTGTTCTGTCTGTGGGGAGACTTGGTTTTACTGGGCCCTCTGTCCCTGGAGGCTGAGCGGGAGGAGGAGCGGCCACTGCTCCAGGAGCTGCTCCTCTGACGGAGGCTCTGTCCTCTGGACTCCCCCCTCTTTTTACCAGACGAGTGGCGTCCCGGGGACGGAGAGTGACTGTGGTGTGTGCCCCGCACAGGATGGTGGTGTTTCTTGGAAGAGTGAGCTCCTTTTGTTCTGTTGATGGACACAGCAAATGAGTTGCTTTAGACTACAGACTGCTGATATCAGCTTGGTCAGTACAAGACCAGGCATTACCAGTACAATGCAAGGTCCCTGTTAATAAAAACAATAAAATCAAAAGTATATATCAAACATCAAAATTGCATTATGAATATACTTGGCGATAATACTGCTAATTCCTTTGAATATAAACACACAAATACACCTTAATGCTTTGTCAGAAGTGCGGCTGTCCTGCTGTGGAATGAGGCCTACCTCTTGTGGTGGCGGGATGCCCGGCCTTTGTGGGTGTGGTTGTGTTGGGACTGTGTGGAGTCGCTGCTGTGAGCCGGAGAGTGGCCGCTCTTGTTCTGCCCTCTGTGGTCTCCTCTCCGCCCTGACACCTGCGAGACAGAGTGTCTGCTGTCCACACCTACAGCGTCAGACGCAGGTCCTGCCTGGCTCCTATTTGGGGCGCTGTGCAATTTGTGCTCTTTCAGCACAGAGTTGTGAAGATTGGACCCAGAGGATGGCACACGATGCTTCTGTAGAAAAACGATGACCAACAAAAAGGAAAAGAAAAGAAAAAGAAAGAGTGACAGAGGCGTTAGAGAGTTTCCAGGTGAGATAGTGCTAGTGCACTTGCTACGGTGTACTTGCCAAAAGAAGGTAACATCTAAAAGAAAAGATCAACGTTTTCTCCATATGGCTTAAAGATAGTCCTCTATGGTGCAGCGCATGCAATACTTGGCATGCAAAACCATAATGAGTCAAAGAAAAAGTAATTGCAAAACAAACAAACAAACAAAAAATAGGAAGGGGGGAAGGAGAAAAAAACATGAACGAAATAAGTTGAAGAGCAAGAAAAAATAGCTAAAGATTTGAAGAGTAGAAAAACAGAGGACTGCTCCAGTTTTAGTTATGGTTCAAAAGAAATGAAACGAACAGAAAGAGAAGACAACTTGACAGAACATCACAGAAATGGAAGGAACAAAATAAAGTTCACAATTATTGAATTATTGAATCAGAAAACAAATCGTCTGCTACTCAATTTCACTTTCTTGTATTTTTCCTGGAGACAACTGTTGAGATGTGAACAGCGACCCATTTTCTCAGATTGTAATGCTTACTCTTGTTTAACTCCCTTCTGGTTAACATCCACTTACCAATAAAGTGGTATTCCCTCCTTTAGTAGGTAAGGTATGAAGAAAAGGGAAAAGTGGGGCAACATAAGTGCATCATTAGATTCACAAAATGCAAGAGAAAAAGACACAAAACCCTTCCCTGCCAGTGACTCATGAGAGAATGTATGAAATCAATGGAACAGAAGTGAAAATAAAGAGGAGAAGCACAGTGTGCGGGAAGACCCTCACACACAGTCAGTCCTCAGGGTCTAGCCACCTCCATGAGCACACACAGCAACATTACATGTAAAGTGCCGTTTAAGCCCTTCGAGCCACTACAACAAATGAGGTGCTGTTTTACCGCTCAACACAGTCAGAGGTCAGCTATTTAAAGGGCATAGTTACAGTTACAGCTCATGGCAACGATACATACTGAATATGTGCTGATACAGACAACTTTTGGATTACAGATTCACTGACACTCATGTAGGACACATTGTGTGTTTATTTCTGTGTCGATATTGTGAAGTTTAATCTGCAATAATTAATTAAGATAATAGTTATTAATCCAAAATGAAAGTGCTTTTCTGTTTTGTTCAGAAACTATTGAAGACACATCATCAATGCAGTGTCCACTTGGATGCAGGTTAATCAGTTTTGCACGGCCATTAACTGTGGGTCTTTGATGCACATATGTGATTGTAGGCAGGTTTAAATGCTTTCTAAGGACAAAACACCAGGACTAATATGTCTGCGTCAACAGACTGTTCAAAAGTTCTACACAAATCAAAATGCACCGTCACTGATTAGTGAAAGTGATTGTGACAGAATACACACTAACAAACAGAAATGTTAGACAAATAGAAATGATGCATTCTGCCAAAAAGAACTAAAAACATGGCAATAAACCTGGAAGGTAAAGCAGGCCTTTTGAATGGAGTTAATAAAAAGAGGACAACCAGAACTCCAGGGATTCCCATCTGTGCTAAGTCAAATTATTACTGATGAAGAAGTAACTTTGACCATCAAGAGAGAGGGAAAGAAGGAGAGAGAAATAGAGAAAGATTGGGTCGAGGGATATATAGAAAGACAGTTATAGGTAAAGAGAGAGACTTGAGTTGAGAGAGAGAGGGTGCTTGTCACATTCTCATCTGCATATAGATCACGTGCGTAGGCAAAGCGTTACCTACCTTCCATTTCAATCAGTGACACGTATGCAATATCAACATAAAAACAGGAGAAAGAAAATAAAAATAAAAAGTAGAAGGAATGTCTCCGCAGCGAAATGGGAAAAAGACAATGACCTCTTTTAGTATCAGAGCCACAGATTTTAATCAGAACGGAAAAAGGAGATGAACAAAATCCAGATGGCAAACCAAAGACTAAAAGATGAGTCTAACAACACTAGGTGAGTTGCTTTGTCTTTTTCGCTTGTACAAATGCAGCCATGTTTGTATCGACAGGGAGGGAGAAGGAAAGTGGACAGAGTTAATATTCATTGTCATAGTGTGAGACTGAGGAGGAAGAGGAGGACACAGAAGAGCAGGCATGCAGAGCTGGCAGATGGAGCAATACAACTAGAAGAAAGTGTAAAAGAGCTAGGACACGCACATGGACAGTGAAGGGGAGGGTAGAGGGATCGTGGACGGACTAAAGAAGCTTTAGGAGTTCACAAAAAAAATCTGAACCATTTTGATGTTAACTCGTTAGGCGCCAAAGTGTCCCTAGATTTTCTTGGCAATTTTTTTATGTTATTGATTTTAGTGGTCTAATATTTCCCTCAATCTCTTATAACGTTTTTGGGCTCCACGTTATGTCTGCTTCACTGTTCACAAAAAAATTCTACAACAAAAACTCTGGCGCCTAAAGGGTTAAGGTATTTAGTTCTGTTTAGCCTTGTAGTAGTAGTAGTAGTAGAGTAACTACTACACTTTGCATAAAAAGTTTGAAGAGCTTACACATAAAAAATAACTTCTACATTGTGTGGACTTTCAGTAATGGAACAGAACGTGGGACTGAGACAGTAGTAGTGAATAGTTCAGTAAAAGGACCGTGAACCCACACTGTTCTGAATGAGTTGAGTTTCACACATTGACTTGTTTTCTGCTACACATTAGACCCGATATTTTTATGGCGATTATTAAAAGTCTGTTTCTAAGGAGCTCCACGGTGTGTGTGTATGATGTCTGAGACAGGCGCACCTTCACATCATGAAGGATCTGAAACAGGTCCAGCGTTACTCAACTCTTTTTCCTGTCTTTTTATGAACAGGTTCTTAGACAGATTCTAGCAGAAGCACTGGACAGAGAAGAATGCCACCCAGGGGCGACATGCACATCCACAGTAAAGATTTAGAAAGACTTTTATCCCGCAGGACTCAGACGATTGAAGGAGAGAAGGATCTATCATCTTGAGAGAAAGACAACTGTATTGACAAGAAGAAACTATGACACATACCATTTAACCTACTTGGTCCAGTTCCAAAGCATTTGAGTGCTTTTTATATAAACAAGACAGAGAGGGCATTTATTCATGGGGTCAATACCAGTTCAAAAAGGAAAGGAACAAGCAGTGAAACAAAGAAAGAGAGATTTCTCATAGAAACATGCAGCAGTGTGAGGCTGAGCTGATTCACCACCACTAATACTCTTAAAGAAAACTGTTACTCTATGATGGTGAACTTCAATTGTGCAGAGAGAATAGGATAATTATTGTTTTAAAGTAAATTAATTCAAATCACGAGAATCACGGAAGTCATAATGAAAATGTCGTTACTGCTTATGTATTCCAATTATAGCATCATGATGTGGATGTGATACTAGTGACAGGACATGCCTGAAATGACTTGGTTTGATTAAGACCTTCTAATAAGTAAAACTTTATGGAACAGAATATCATACTTTGCGAATGATTTTTTGACCTGCTCCTTGTCCCACTTTCTTGTATGGCGCCTTGGGTGGCCAAATTGGAATAAATAACACATCTCTTTGCTCATGGGAGTAGGAAGACTGCATGCTATTCGAGTCACATTTCCATTGGCGAGATGTGTGCTTCTAATGCAACTGTCTGACTCGCGGCACGGACACATTACAACTTTGCACTATTTTGTGCCCTCCCTCTGTTACTGATAAACAACACCAAAAAAAAAAGAAAGAAAAATAACAAGATGGCAGAGGAGTCGAAGAGAGCCAGAAACAAAACAGCTGGAGCGGAGAAATTTACACACAACAAACATCTAAAGTCCTACAAAAGCTAAAAGAACTACGTACTGTAATGGGAGGAGAAGAAAGAAAAGTCAGTTAAGTCATGATGCACAGGCTGATCTGAGGCCTGTGGGAGCTTTGGGGTGGAGGTGGTTCAGGGGTCGAACAGGGGAGTGTACATACATCATGGGCCTTGTCCTCGTCCGCGTGGTTGTGTCGGCTTCGACCGTTTCGACTCTGGTCGCCATTGTGACATGTGCCTGGGCTCGTGTGACTCGGGGAGATCTTCTGCCCATCCGGCTTGTGCTTGGAGTTGATTCTGAAAGAGCAAATACGAATTGTATTGAATCTGTTTTGAATCTGTATTTAGTTTGAGTAAAAATAACCATACAGTTTCTGTTTGAGTTCAAAGCAAATCTTAGGAAACACATTAACTTTGTCTCTTGTTTAGTTATTTGAATGGCACTGGGCAGAGTGAGACCTCCCAGTCCTGTTACAGGGATACAGGGATAAACAGGTAAAAACATGTTAATCTATGCCCATGGGATATGCGAGAGAATCATCTGTGTTGTGTGGGTAGTGTGTTATTGTGTGATCAGTGTAGTGTAGTGTGTTGTGTGTGTACCTGGTGGGAGACCTGGAGTTGCTGCGTGCCGATGACACTGATGCGCTGCGGGAGCTACAGCAGCTGCCTTGACGCTGTGAACCCCGACTGGGCGTCTCCCCAGGAGACCTGCCACACAACCATAATACACATCAGTGCATCTCCTTTAAAAGCTGCATTACTGTCAGCAACATCTTGTTTAAAAGGTGCCTTCCTCAGCTGTTCTTGGTAGAGGACCCGCTTTTTGCTTGGGTTCATCTGAATGTTATGGAATGTCCTAGATACAGTGCCTTGTGAAAGTATTATTACAGCTTGAACTTCAGTATATATTGTCATATTACAAAAACCTTTTTATTTTATGTTTTACTGAAAAACCACAACACTGTAAAAGTGCAAAAGAACATTAAATCATACAGCAGGAGCATGTGGAATCCCCAGATTTTTCTCCAATCATGTTTGGTATTTTAGTGTCCCTGCTGAAGGATAGCAGCCCCAAAGCATGATGCTGCCACCCCCATATTTGATACTGATGGCGCACTGAGGTAGATGAGTAGCGTTAGTTTTGAACCTAAAAGTTTGCATTTGGGCCAAAAAGTTAAATTTGGTTCTCATTTGACCACAGCCCCATCATCAAAATGTTCCCTGCTTTGCTCCTTGTGGTCTTTTTTCTCTCCGCTGGCTTTCTATTTAACACTCGACAAAAAGGCCAGATTGAAGGTCGTGGGTTTGAGCCCACCACAAGACTTTCTCCACTGACTCCCACGGATGTCTGCTGTCATTGTGTCCTTGGCAAGACACTTAACCTCTGGGAACAGCAGGTGCCACAGTGGGACGTTGTGTCCTTAGGCAAGACACTTCACCCACATTGCCTACAAAGGTGTGTGTGTGAATGGTTGGTGGTGGTCGGATGGTCGGTCTGATGGCACATATTGGTTATCTCGCTTCTGTCAAGGTGCTCCAGGGCATCTGTGGCTACAGTAGTACTGAAAGAGGGGCAGGGGGAGAACCCCGTGCAAGAGACATGAAGCCTGCACTCACATGATGCATTGCACCCAGTGCTCGCACAAAAAACAAGCTCGCACAAATATTGCCCCAAGCCTTTTTAAAAGTTATTCCACCGTATGACATTAGCTGAACATTAGTTCTGCAAACTACAACACAAATGTGTATAAACCCCACACAACATGAGGGGATGTTGTGAAGGATCAAAGGAAGACTCACTGTGACTGACAATAAAATATGAAATTCAAATCAGGTACGATGTTTGGTGTGGAAATTGTGTTGAACTGGGCCAAAGAGGATTTCCATTGTTCATGCTTCTTAACATTCTCCAGGAGTCCGAGCTTGAGATAATAGGTGTAAAATAGCAATATAAATTTATGAGACACTAAGCATGGGGCCAATTGCACGTACTGATGCCAATAGGGCCAGGATAGAGGATTGTTTTAGCTGTCTGCGTACACAGTTTTGTGTGTGTGTCAGCAGAGCCTTAGAATCACAATTCACTCTTTCATGATAACAAAAAGTGTTTGTCCATAAATGTGCATGCATCTCACCTTTTTTTCTCCTTGTTCTTGTCCTTGTTTTTATTCTTGGGGCTGCCAGAACTGAAAAAAAGAGAAAATGTGTGAGACCGTATGTGCAGTAAAGTATTGACCATGCACACACACATCTGAAAGTTTATGAATAGAAAATGGAATGGAGCACATACCGGTTTCTTCTCTTCTTCCTGGAACCAGATGTAGATCTGGAATATTCAGAATACTCAAAATTAGGACTGGGAATTATTTGCACATATGAGAGAAATTAGTGCAATCAATTCTTAATTTAGACTTTGAAATGACTGCATGATATTCATTTAAAGTCATAGTCTGGAACTCTAAATGAATTACAAATTTTAACAATTGTATTAAATTGACCTCCTGGCCTTAAATGTTGATATAAAATAAGTCATTTTATGAATTCTAATATTACGGGTAAGTCCCGCCTTCCCTTCTCTTAGCTATAGGTCAGAATCCATGCCGTCCACTTAAACCAATCAAGTGATGCCAACGGCTGTCAATCATCGGCTCGTAGCTGCGCGCATGCTCAGTTGTTTGTTTTCACAAAGCCTCCGAATCAAGCCTACATTAGGCTCTACAACTACATGAAAACTTAACAAAGAATTTTGAACATCCGCGCTGAGTTACCCATTTATAAACTGAACCTATATCCATAATCATTTATATACTGAACCTATATCCATAAACATTTATATACTGAACCTATATCCATAATCAGATCCTCTGCAGATGTGTCCTATAATGTTCAATTAATGATAACAGTTACTTCCGGGTTCACCGCGATCGCTTATTTTGTGCATTAAAACATTATTTTTGTCATGAAAACGTAAACAAATAATTCTGAAAACTTCCATTCATGTGTATTAATAATGTAATAATAATGTGTTGATTGATTGTTACGGAAACATAGGCTTAGACCAAGGGAGCTTGGGTCGTTTATTTCAAATCATGTACCTCTCTCTCTTTTTTCTGACAAACTCCAGACAATCACTTTAATCAGACATTTTGTTAAGTCAGTTTTTAAAATGCATATCATTGGATAAGAAACAAAATGAGATGGAGGGACTGCTTGTGGAGAGGGAAGACTGTGCATCTCTGTGTGGAATGCAATCCAGCAATAGATAAAAAGGAAGAAAATGGATTCATGGATGATACATAATTAATGAAATAAAAGGTAATAGGCCCGACTAAAATGCATGGATTACAAGGAACACAAATATATGCCTAGGAGCTGCTCATCCCCAGTCACCGGAGGCAATCAGGGGGACCACGAGAGCAGTGTGATATTTGGTTCATGTATTCAGTATTATAATGTAAAGCCAATCCCTATTTTATGATATATAACCAAACCAATCTATGTCGCTTTCTTGTTGCTCATTCATTATATTATTAGTTGATTAATCAATACTAATGTTATATTAATTATTCATGTCTACTATGGCAAACACAGGTCCAGAAATGATAAGTCAACCTTTTTATGGAACTTAATTTTCACATATCTATATAGTTGACAAACATAAAATATTGATCCAGACTATAATATTTATACAGTTATTAAAAGAATGTGAGAAATTCCAATCCTATGACGTTCACTCTCACACTGAACAGCATTCTTCATAACCGTATCTAGTTGTGATCCATTCAGCAGTTGAACTACTTCACCCTCCAACAGTTTGTCTGACCTCTCCGCCTACAGTTTCCATGGTGATTAGTCAGACTGATATGAAAGAGTTGTTTGCATTTTTCAAGAAGACACATTTTTGAAACCCCTTACAGCTATCACTGGTTTGGAAGTGGGTGTGTGTCTCCTCCTTGGTTTGGGAGTGGGTGTGTGTCTCCTCCTTGGTTTGGGAGTGGGTGTGCGTCTCCTCCTTGGTTTGGGAGTGGGTGTGCGTCTCCTCCTTGGTTTGGGAGTGGGTGTGTGTCTCCTCCTTGATTTGGGAGTGGGTGTGTGTCTCCTCCTTGGTTTGGGAGTGGGTGTGTGTCTCCTCACTGGAATGGGAGTGGGTGTGTGTCTCCTCCTTGGTTTGGGAGTGGGTGTGTGTCTCCTCCTTGATTTGGGAGTGGGTGTGTGTCTCCTCCTTGGTTTGGGAGTGGGTGTGCGTCTCCTCCTTGGTTTGGGAGTGGGTGTGTGTCTCCTCCTTGGTTTGGGAGTGGGTGTGCGTCTCCTCCTTGGTTTGGGAGTGGGTGTGCGTCTCCTCCTTGGTTTGGGAGTGGGTGTGTGTCTCCTCCTTGATTTGGGAGTGGGTGTGTGTCTCCTCCTTGGTTTGGGAGTGGGTGTGTGTGTCTCCTCACTGGATTGGGAGTGGGTGTGTGTCTCCTCCTTGGTTTGGGAATGGGTGTGTGTCTCCTCCTTGATTTGGGAGTGGGTGTGTGTCTCCTCCTTGGTTTGGGAGTGGGTGTGTGTCTCCTCCTTGGTTTGGGAGTGGGTGTGTGTCTCCTCCTTGGTTTGGGAGTGGGTGTGTGTCTCCTCCTTGGTTTGGGAGTGGGTGTGTGTCTCCTCCTTGGTTTGGGAGTGGGTGTGTGTCTCCTCCTTGGTTTGGGAGTGGGTGTGTGTCTCCTCCTTGGTTTGGGAGTGGGTGTGTGTCTCCTCCTTGGTTTGGGAGTGGGTGTGTGTCTCCTCCTTGGTTTGGGAGTGGGTGTGCGTCTCCTCCTTGGTTTGGGAGTGGTGTGCGTCTCCTCCTTGGTTTGGGAGTGGGTGTGCGTCTCCTCCTTGGTTTGGGAGTGGGTGTGTGTCTCCTCCTTGATTTTGGAGTGGGTGTGTGTCTCCTCACTGGTTTGCGAGTGGGGGTGTGTGTCTCCTCACTGGTTTGGGAGTGGGTGTGTGTCTCCTCCTTGGTTTGGGAGTGGGTGTGTGTCTCCTCCTTGGTTTGGAGTGGTGTGTGTCTCCTCCTTGGTTTGGGAGTGGGTGTGTGTCTCCTCCTTGGTTTGGGAGTGGGTGTGTGTCTCCTCCTTGGTTTGGGAGTGGGTGTGTGTCTCCTCCTTGGTTTGGGGAGTGGGTGTGGTGTGTCTCCTCCTTGGTTTGGGAGTGGGTGTGTGTCTCCTCCTTGGTTTGGGAGTGGGTGTGTGTCTCCTCCTTGGTTTTGGGAGTGGGTGTGTGTCTCCTCCTTGGTTTGGGAGTGGGTGTGTGTCTCCTCCTTGGTTTGGGTGGTGTGTGTGGGGTGTGTGTCTCCTCCTTGGTTTGGGAGTGGGTGTGTGTCTCCTCCTTGGTTTTGGGGAGTGGGTGTGTGTCTCCTCCTTGGTTTGGGGTGGGTGTGTGTCTCCTCCTTGGTTTGGGAGTGGGTGTGTGTCTCCTCCTTGGTTTGGGTGGGGTGTGTGTGTCTCCTCCTTGGTTTGGGAGTGGGTGTGTGTCTCCTCCTTGGTTTGGGAGTGGGTGTGTGTCTCCTCCTTGGTTTGGGAGTGGGTGTGTGTCTCCTCCTTGGTTTGGGAGTGGGTGTGTGTCCTCCTGTTGGGTGGGTGTTCTCCTCCTGGTTTGGGAGTGGGTGTGTGTCTCCTCCTTGGTTTGGGAGTGGGTGTGTGTCTCCTCCTTGGTTTGGGTGTCTCTCTGTTTGGGGTGTGTGTCTCCTCCTGGTTTGGGGTGTCTTGGGAGTGGGTGTGTGTCTCCTCCTTGGTTTGGGAGTGGGTGTGTGTCTCCTCCTTGGTTTGGGAGTGGGTGTGTGTCTCCTCCTTGGTTTGGGAGTGGGTGTGTGTCTCCTCACTGGTTTGGGAGTGGGTGTGTGTCTCCTCCTTGGTTTGGGAGTGGGTGTGTGTCTCCTCCTTGGTTTGGGAGTGGGTGTTGTGTCTCCTCACTGGTTTGGGAGTGGGTGTGTGTCTCCTCCTTGGTTTGGGAGTGGGTGTGTGTCTCCTCCTTGGTTTGGGAGTGGGTGTGTGTCTCCTCCTTGGTTTGGGAGTGGGTGTGTGTCTCCTCACTGGTTTGGGAGTGGGTGTGTGTCTCCTCCTTGGTTTGGGAGTGGGTGTGTGTCTCCTCACTGGTTGAAAGCAGTGAAGTAAAGTACACATACAGTATTTGTAGTAGAGGCATGTGAGGGTGAAGGTGGTGTGGTGGCTCTTGCTGGTCCAGGATGCGGAGGGGCACTGGTGTGGTGACGGCCTGGTGATGTGGTAGGGCTTTCATGCAGGTGTCACTTTCTTCTCCCACTACACTGCCACGAATGGATATGATTTGTATATATGTAAATAGTTTGAATATAAACTAATACTATCAGTTTGACCAAGTGAAAAAACTTCATTGTCTGGTAAAAGGGAAAAAAACAAAATAAAAATAAAAATAATGTAAACAAATAAAATAAAAATAATGTAAAAAAAATAAGATAAAAATAATGTAAAAAAATAAAATAAAAATAATAACAAAGAAGAAAATAGAAAATAAATAAATAAATCTGAAGTCGGCTGAACGTGGCCTGAGACCGGTGGGGTAGGGTGTGTGCAGTTCTGGCTCGAGGCTTTGGAGCGTCACTGGTTGTTGCTGCGCTGGTGCCTGCTGTGACGGGATTGGCTGGGGTCACTGTGCTGCTTGTTGCTGTGTTGTTGTGCATTACTTTGCTACTGGAACACGGGTGTAAGTGTGATGTGCACAGGGGTGGGAATTTATAAAATTTTTTCTTCCTCCCGCTCCTTTTCAAGTTTAAATGAAGTCAGTATTGTATTAAGTACCTGTAAATGGATGATTTGATGTCCATGAACTCGAAATAAATAAACACTCAACTCAACTCAACTCAAGGTCTTGGCACCAGTTCTGTTGCCCCGTACTTTGCCCAGTGGAAAGAATCAACAGCAGCTCATGTGAAGGACTACACTCTTGCCCAACACAGTCTAGATCTGAGTGTTTGGACCTAAGCTAAACCTGGATCAGATTCTCAGCCCAACAACGTAACATATAACCAGCGCCCTTATCAGTACTGGATTTGGCTACTTTAGAGTCCAGTATTTCTGAAATGTCATCTCCAAATGATGATAGGATATAATAACATCATATCAAATCCTGGTATGAGCAGCAATAATCTAACAATTGTCTAAAAGTTCCAGATAAAACTGGAAACAAATCTATTATTTTTATTGAACGCTATTGTTTATTTTCAAATGTATTAATCTCAGTTTTCCCGAATATTTAAAACAATATCTGATTCCTTTCCAATCCTCGTACAGTTTGCGTCATGCAAATCAATCTTTTTTATTTAAAGCTCCGTCTAACTGGAACAGTTTGCCGTTGTCTGTTCGCGCTCTAACTTCTCTGCCTCTGTTTAAATCTGCTCTGCAACAATATCTCCAGAATTCATGTCAACGTTTTTGATCTTAGGTTATGAGTCCTGAACTTGTCTTTACTGTCTCCTTATTATTATTATTACTAATATACTATTAATATTAATAATATTATCCTTATTTAGTGTAACTACAGTACAGTCACGCGTGTGTGTGTGTGTGTGTGTGTGTGTGTATGAGTGTGAGTGCTTGAGGGTTTATGTGTGTGTATTTTTTATTGTTACTTTTTATATTTATTTTATTTTCTTTTACATTTATTTTCTTGTATTTTTGTTTTATTTGTATCTGTTTTGCTGTATCTGTCACCTTGTGAAAACCTTGAGGACCCCCTCGTAAACGAGATGATTCATCTCAAGGGGCTTATCCTCTGAATAAAAAAAAAAAAAAAAAAAAAATAAAAAAAAAAAAAGAAGTTAGAGTAGGTGGTACTACAGCTCATTCCACTTTTAACTAAAAATGAAAGAAGACTGAAACTGAAAACCAAAGAAGACCATTATTGTCATCGTGTTGATTACTTTTACTAAGCTTTATGTTGATATATTGGTTCTTTTGAGTTGGACTTCATGTCTGTTCAGTTGATCGCCTGCAGTGTCTCCCTGTGTGTATCTAAACCCTCTGCTCTTCTCCTCTAGTTGTCGGCCCAATGATTTTTTTGTCCCTTCGTGGTTTGAGTTGGGTTTTCTATTTTGTATCAAATCTTGTATTTTTTCAGTCCTGCAATTGTGACAAATATCAATGTGAGAAAATAAATGATCACTAAACATTCGTCTGTCAGATTTAGTAAAATGCACTCTAAAGAAAGGTGACAAGGCCCTAATGCCACTGGGGACAACCCAAGCGTGTTGATCTCCACTGCCCTGTCCTATACATTATTCATTTATCAACAGTACCTGCAATGCGCTAGGAGAGAGAGCTCGCCTGTGTGTGTTTGTGTGTGTGTGTGTGTGTGTGTGTGTGGTAGTGGGGGGTATAGGAAACTGCAGGTCTAAGATGTGCTGTGGATAGATGAGAGGTGGGGGGTAGGAGAGGAAGCTGGTGCAGTGATGCTCAGCAATTTGGTGCGAGGCTCGTTTTTCTAGTGCTGTTGTACAGGCTCCGGGTTATTAGAGCAACTCATTTAGAAGTCACCCCTCCCCCTCAATGGACTTAGCCAATCAGAGCAAGAGCCTGATACCCCCAGGCGTAGCAGAGGGCTTCTGTGATGATGAGGTGAAGCGGTTTTTGTATTATCTCAATGCTTTTCTTTCTTTCTTCTTTATGGCTCGCATCAGTAAGTCTGTTCTTTATCATCCAGAATACTTTACTTCAGCTGGTTTAGTGCACTTTTGTATTATTTCACTTACACTGTAGAATCTCCAAGTACAAAAAAATATTTCACTATGTTCCCTTTTCCCTAAATGTTGTTTCATTGTTGGAACAGACTTTCAAATAATAAAGAAAACGGTTCGACAAGTTGTCCCTCAGTGGGGAAACAAGAACTGTTATTTAAGATAATAGATTAAAAACAACAACATGATAATAAAATTAACTCTGGAGCTGTAATAGCACTTGGTTCAAAGATAAATAGTAAAATCAGGAGTATACACTGTAGTTAGCAGCATCACAAGGCATTACATATTTATCGTACTTTAGCAAATAAAATGCGTTATGTAATTATGTATATATATATCTATATAGTTTCTCGCTTGGTCTGGTCTTGTTAAACGGTCTGTTTAACAACATTATTTAAGAGAAGAAAGGTACCCCAGGTTAATCATTAGTTTTGATTTTACAAATCCAAAATACAATGATTAGTTGTAAGATTCTGACTTTTACATAATGTGTCTAAATGCTCATATTCTAAATGGAATAAGATTACATTTTAGCTTCGATTCGTCTTGTCCTCAAAATAGCAAACATAACCAGAAAGATGCTCTGTTTTTTGGGTTCCATGACGTGAAAGCAAAGGAACAATACTGTATACTGTATTTTTCCATCAAAGAGAGAGGAACTTTTACTGCTGGGCCACTGCTGAGCTGCAGACAAGGCTTTGGTGATATATGGAACTTTTGCCAGAGCCCCAGCACATTTTTAAGAGTAAAAGACAGTTTTTGCGCTGATGGATGTCTGTGCTTCCAGTGCTACTAGTTTTTAATGTCCCTTCCTCTCTGTCTCGCTTCATTATTTCGAACATTTATCATTTATTCTGTCTGACTTCAACTCTTTGCTTCCTTAATTCTAATAGATTTCTCCCTTTTAAGTGCCTCAATGGGACACAAATTGCAGAGTGCTATAATAAAATCCAATGTTCTATAAAATAAAGGAAAGGAAAGTATTTTGTGTTTCCCACGGCTGCTATCGGAGTTCATTCCAATTAATTCAATTATGTTGCATCCACAATTAAAAAAAAACATATTAATTTAGTCTTAAAACTGGGCTACCTGACTCCCAAACCATATATTATGGAACTGGAATAAAACCCTCATTCTAGATTTCATGTCATTTTTGGCCTGTCGCGTCTTTGGATGAGCTTTTTCAGAGATAGTTAATCTGGAAAAATTGAAGAAGCTATGTTTTATTGACAACATTGTACTGTTACAAGACTCTCATAATTATGGAGGATACATTATTTAGTACTCCAGATTCAAAGGGGAATTACGCTACTTTTCATTTGAGAAAAAAGTCTATTTTTTAACACATGTTTTTTGTGGATTGGATATAAGTGGACATCATGGTGACTTTACTTTCCATCAAAGTGGTCTGGGATGCTGAAGGTTTTCTCTGCTGACAAACAAACTCCCGCACCAGAAAAAAACAACAAATCAATCCCGGAGCATTGTAGGCACAACCGTGAGTAAAGGCACCATGCTGCCCACTCAAACAGCAAAACTATAAACTATATAATTTTAGCATAAATAATTGCACAATGCACCTTTCACATGGCTTTACATTTGCATTTTGAGTTCATGATTACTGTTATTGTCACAAGTGGAACAAGCTCTCCTGCTTCAAATGCAGGAGAGCACAGTCTGAAGTGTCAGTGCTTGAGGATCCTGCAGACAGCCCCTTTGAAACCGCCTGTGTACAAACACTCCTCACCTGTCGCGCTTGTGCTTTTTCCCACTCTTCTTCTTCTTCTCTCGGCGAGTGGGCGACGAGCTGCCAAACCTAGTGACAGAACAGAAATGGAAAAAGCATTCTCACGGAAGCCAAATATTTTATAGAACATCATAAATTTCATTAAGTTATGAAAGGGATTGGTAGTTTGGCCGGCTACGCTAATACAGCTAAGTGCGGCGCCACGTCATTGAAATGGTTTTGATTTGTTACAGCTCCTTTATATTCGGGGTAATGCCTACCTAAACCTAACTAAAATTGTAGAAGGACTGAGAGGCTTTTTGTGAACTTTGGTAATGCTACTGCTGGAACGTACATTTCCTCTGGGAGCAACAACGCATCATTTCGATTGGTCCCAAGCCATCTTTTCACAAAGTGCTTTTTTAATAATACGTAATAATGCCTTCACTTTTTCTCTTCTCCATTCTAAACTGATGTTAGCAGATGCAAAAAACAGTCAGTTTGAGAAAATAATATTAAGAGCTGGTTGGGGCTAGAAGTATGAAAGTGGTTTTCTTTTATCATTTATTTCTTTTTACATATTTCCATCTTTTGACAAATTAACAGGGGTTGACATGAGTTTTGATATTATATATATATATTCTAGGTTTGGATTCAATCACAACTGTGCCAAATATCAAGAGGAGATGTAATTGAAGACTGATAGTTAAATATAAAACATACATCATTAAACAACTATAAATTAAATTTACATTTCAGAAAAGATTAGATTAAATGGTTCTTTTCCTGAGATAATAGGATTTAAAATGTAAAAGTATAACATGTCCATGAATGCTGCAACTTACTGTGATAATGATCATTGAATATCATTTCAGGGGCCAATTAAAGTGACTTCGCGGGCAGGATTTGGCCCATGGGCCTGAGTTTGACATGCCTGCTATGTGCTGTTGATCTTGATTTCCAATAAGCAGCTAAATTATGTTTTTAATGTTTAATAATGTTTTTGTTTCATAAATTCATAAAGAGTCTCCACACACAACATGCCCTCTTAATTAGAAACTTGTAATATTATGCATATTTGTAAGATTGAGCTCTGTGAGACATTATATGACGCTTTGGGCTGAGATAAGCTGTTTTTGAGACTGACTGATTGATACAGTACCTTTACTCAAAAACTCTCCATTACTTGTAATTTCTGATTTATGCAGCTAAAATCGGGAACAGTCTAACAGAAAATGTGAGACAGGCTTCTTCTCTGACAACAGATCTGTTTAGCTGCATACAACTGAAGGAATGTAATATAATGTGGATGTACTATGATCATTTATGATTTTAATGCCTTGTGTTGCTTCGATCTTGTTTTGTTCAGCACTTTGAGTTGTGTATGAACTGTGCAATACAAATAAACTTGCCTTGCCTTATTTTTATTCAAGCAACTAGGGCTAAAACAAAATCAAAATTCCTTTTCAGAAAATTAGAAGTGACTCGCATGTCTGCCTGCAGCATATATTTATTGTGACTTCTGGTAAAATTGCACCACTTTGCAAAGAGCTTACAATAGGCGGCTGAAAACTGCACTAAATATCAATTTGGCATGAGAAAAATGTGTGCGGCTTGGACTGAAAAAGCCAATGGTGTTGTGCAGAGTGCTCGCAATACAGCTGAGTGATTGCTGCTTGTTAGTATTTGTAAATCCGTAATGTAAAAATAAGGACTTTTCCGAGGGTGGAGCAGTCCTTTTCTCACGTTTTGCTCGGTTCAGTTCGGCCTTTTATCTGATGCTGTTAAAATTCATACACACAATAATCGAGCCTCCACAGGCCCACGCTATAATTATTTCACTCTACGCAGTTGCCACTCACCGGCTCCTCTTGCGTCCAGATTTTTTCTTTTTCCTTTTCTTTGGCCGCGGAGATGGGGAGCTGCTGGATTTTCTTTTCGCTCTGAAGAAAATCATTTGCAAAAGACATTAATATATTAGAAGAATGTGTTTCGATAATTATAAACCACACGAAAACATATCAAACAAAGGCAGGCATCAATTTTCTCATCTACTCAAAGCGCTCAGCCATAGGAGAAAATATTATTGCAATAAAGAGGCGGCAAAAAGCAGGAAATTGCTTTGGGGATATTAGCCCGACGCTTGCTCGGCTTTGTGGAATGACACAGACAGAAATCTATACGGCCGTTTCTTCTGTAACTCTTTAATGCTACAGATTGTGTAGATGTGGAAGTGACCGGCGTGATCAAACAAACATTAAGATGATGTTCTATGTAAAGATTAAGATGATTTCTCCCACAGTGGGGAAATCTCTCTCTCTAACTTTAGCATAGAAAAGTGGAAAGTAGAACATCTCTAGCTTTAGCATAAGGAACCATATCAAAAATATCTAGCTTTAGAATAATAATAATGGCTTATTAACCGAGCGCGAGGTCTGTATGAAGAAATAACAGACCGCGGCCTTAATGTACAGACCGAGCCGTGGTGAGGTCTGTGCAAAAAGGCCAAGGTCTGATATTTCTCTGTACAGACAGAGCAAGCGAGGTTAATAAATGTTTTATTATATGACTCTCGTCTGTGTCTTTACCAATGCTTTTGAGATATTTGTGAAGTATGTTCATGTCCGACTTGGTTTTGTGTGATACGCGCTGCGGACAGATTGTCATGGTAACGGTCCGTGGAAAGATATCAAATGTGATACGCGCTGTTCGTACCAATTGTCATGGTAACGGTCCGAGATGGGAAAATATCAGACCGGTAATCAGCCAATCAGAGCGCGCGTACGGTCCAAGTCATATAATAAGTAAGCATATCAACTGTATCTAGCTTTAGCATAATGAAGAAGCAAGAATGAAGTATAAAATCTCTGACTATAGCATAATAAGAAGTAAGTCTAAAATACTTTATATTATAGCACATATACATCTGTACATGTGACTCAGTAAAGTGACAGTGGACAGATGTGGCTTCATATTGAGCATTCCGAGATGAGTTCGAATGATAGCGCAGATGCGATAAAGTCTAAATAAAGTGACCTGTTATCGCTCCCGTAGTCGTAGTCTCCGTCTTCATAGACAAAGCCGGGGTTGCCCTCGTACTCGTGGTGGTAGTGCAGGTGGTTGACACTGAGGACACAACAAAAATATTACAGGTTGATCAAGATCATTCTGCACACATTTCAAAGAATCTTGTCCCTTAGCAACTCAAATGTTGTTCCCAAATTGCCATAGAAGCTGTAAAAATATGTATTGCATTTTATTTTTTATGGCAACAAAAGGAGAAAGGATAGGAGTCTCAATAGAACACTTAAGAAACACTGCCATTTTATTTCCACGTTCTTTCCATATTTTTCGATCACTTATTCATCATTGAAACATTCAGAACATTCCATGGTGCTTTCTATTCAGTTGTATTGTTTGTTTTCAATGACGTTTGCAAAAGAGTTTGAAAAAGAGGCAATAAGACGCAACAAACTTCAGACCAAATCCAAATGTGAAAAGAAGAATATTGAGGAGGATAATGAGCAGTGACAGTGTAACAGCAGCGAGCCAGACCTGGTCCAGAGCAATCATTAGAGCGAAACACAAGTGGCTGCTAATTTATTATAGATCAGTCCTTTTTAAATTAGAACTTAACTTGAGCAAACATTGATTGATCTTTAACAGTTTAAAGGAGCCCCGTGTTAAACGATCACTACTTGAGAAGAAAAGATGTAGGTGGGACAGAGATTCATTCATCTTTTCTTTACTTTGTTTCTTCCCCTTAATCCATTTCTGGGTCGGGGGGTGGCAGTCAGAGCTGCACCCAGTACACATGGTACCAGCCCCTCACTGATCCTCCTTCAGCAAAAACTCGATCTAAAATAAAATGCACAAATCTGCGCTACTTATTCTTTAAAAGGACGTATAGCACAATGCACTGTATGGATATGGATTGAATTTTTGTAATGAATACAAAAATAAAGTCAGGTAATGCAGCTTTAATCTTATAAGCCACATTTAGCTTCCATATGCTAGATTGTCAATTTTACTATTTTACTAAACATGTTTTTCATTTGAAAGTTTTCAGGTTTTCGATTGACTTTAGATGACATTTTGCCTCTTCCACCACCCCTGGAGCGGCCTGTCTCTCAGCAGGGTCTCTCCCCTCACCGGTCATTGAGCCATTCACACAAGAGTATATACAGACAGATGGATCCGTCCAGAAACCATTCCCCCTTCAGCCTTTTCACCCCCACTCCCCACTCTCACCTCAGCGGCTACACGGTGCTAAAGGATATGGGAAAAAAATACACTTCACTGATGATTTTATTAAATGCAGCACTGATCTTGTCCAACACAGCTATAATAAACCATCTGGCTGCTCTGAGCAAAGACAGCTCCAGAAACATTGGTACAAATATAATGAATGACAATATTTTTTAGCTTTCTCTGGTCAGAATGTGAGTAGTGCTTAGAAAGGAGATTAGAGATGTTAGTATTGTCATTTGGGTGCAATTAAATACTTCAATTGCTGCTTATTTCAAGCAGGGCGTACAATTTAATATCATCACAATAGAAATATACTGGGATTATCAGTTATATAATTTTCAATGACATATCATGATGAGTGGTTATTTTTTTCATTTTTTTATGTTTTAAAGTTTTAGAGATTTTTTTAACAAATTGTCAATTACATGGGTTGTATTTGGATGGAAATGGTACTGGGAAGAAGGCTAGGTAATGATAATTGATTTAATTAATTTCTTTATTTTCAAAGGTAATTAATTCTTTTGGGTTACATTTTTTATATTTTTATATTCTTTTATATGTTCTTTTGAGTAAAATAAATGATGTGTTTGTTTTTTTCTGAGAGAATAAGCTTTAAATTAAAATATAACACGCCAACGTAGCCCATAAGTTGCCAAAACATTCCATTCATATATAATAGGTTGGCCTACGATATTTGGAATTAGCATATCAATAATCAATCGTGAGACCCAATATATGTTGCATCATGGTATAACTGATTTCAAGTCAGAATAATGTCCAAATATAATTCTGCAAGAGTGAATCTTGAAATGTAAGCTGCATTTTATAAAATGTACTATTATTATTAGATTGTCATCTTCTTATAAATATAGAAATAAAAGATTGACTGAGCATAGTTTCAGAAACGTATTGTGACTGTTAAAATGATGCAACACACGGCCCACAGGAAGAGAATAGATGCTAAAAGAGAGAAATTAATGAAGTGTCAAAAGTCCAATCTACAACGTCAGAGGATGCTGCAAAGAGCCGCAGCCGCCTTAAGCTCTCTCTTGCAGGAAATCAAAGAGAACAGGAGTGCAGTGCTCTGGTTCGATTGAGAGAAATAGGACGCTAACAAAGAGAGAGGAGCTGCTTGTTGAAGTAAATGGTGTCTGAGAGGCGCATTTGAGCGGGGAACCAGGCTGACGGTTTGTTATTGGAAGAAGATGGGTAACAGAGCCCCTAATTGGCTGAGGACCGCTGAACACAGCAGGGAATGCCAGGAATATTCAGCCAGTATCTGCCCCCATAAGCCTCTCTCCACACGGAGCGCTGGCTTCCTCATGTGTCCACATTTTAATGTGTAACTGTAGCTTTCACATAAATGGTGAAACAGGTGTGACAAGACATTAACAAAAAAAACACCTGACTGACTGCAGCATGCAGGGTACAATCATATGCTTTGACTACTTTTCCTCGTCAAGATGTGTAGTTACTCTAGTGCTATAACATTGTTAAATTATTATTTATAAAAAGTAACTGCAGTTACTTCTGCACAATAGCTAATGATTCACACAAATAAAATGACAAACATATATGTAAACTCAAGTGAACTGAATTGCGTATTGGCAGAAGCAGAACAACTCATTCAGCAACGCACAGGGAGGAAAACTCAGAGTTTGTGTTATTAAGATGAAAGATTAGTTAAATAACCACAGCCGGAAAGTGCCTCAAGTACAAATAACACAGCCAAGTTTTATTCACTAACAAGGCTAAAAGATTCTTTTAGATTGAGACTGTGAAACAGTCCTTTCTCAATTTTGTTTTTCTCATTTCAAAACAAAAATCAAGTGGTCAGGAGGCACTGACCTGCAGAGCCAGAGATGTGTGCTTGATGTGTTCAAAAGCACATTATACTACTTTTTGAGAACCAGAGCTTTGTTAATAATGTCCTGTATGAGAGGTTCTGCCAGAGCAGAGTGCAACCTGAAGGCACACAACACATGCCAGCGTGTATGAATGCAACCTTTCTCTGTTCATATAAATATATATTCCTGAGAGTTTTAGTCAAATATTGAATAACTGTGGAAAAGTGGGGGTCAGCTCCTCTATAGCTGCAGCAGTGATTGAAAGTGTGTGTGTGTGTGTGTGTGTGTGTGTGTGTGTGTGTGTGGGTGTGGGTGTGTGTGAGCGTGTGTGTGTGGGTGTGGGTGTGGGTGTGTGTGTGAGTGTGTGTGTGTGTGGGTGTGTGTGTGTGCGTGTGTGTGTGTGTGTGTGTGTGTGTGTGTGTGTGTGTGTGAGAGAGAGTTTGTGTAAGTCAGGCAGGATCAGAGCTGGTGCCATCAGGAAATCACTGCAGTAAACATGGGTAAACAGAGTTATGAGCTTACATGTCGATGCTTCCTGCGGGCTGTTTATTGGTGCGGTGTGTAAGAGCAGTAAGCTGCTTCTGAGGCCTGGGCTGTCAATTGGAGACGTCCCCTCTGAGGATGGACTAAACCTTTGCAGTAAACTTCGGCTCAATATACATCTGCGAGCCTCAGATAGTGAAAATGTGGATATGGTGCTTTAGGACAGTCTTTAAAATCACACCGGAAAAAAATCTCCTTTTATTATGCTTTGTCATTCCATCCTATTAAATGGATGTTTCTCAACTGTGGCAACGGCATGAACCCAGGGAAATACAATAACAACTATATTTCTTCACATTCTCCCCTGCCGATCTATTTATGGCAGATTATAGCCCGCCATTTAGTTTTTATGATTCATGCGTGTTTAGTAATTGTTATTCTTCTGTATTCAAGCCGCTATTGCCCTGAGACGACCACAAGGCCACGGCCATTTTTGTACACAGTGCATACAGGCTTTTTTGCACATTTCCGCATCATGTAGGACCTTTGTTGTGCTTATGTTTTTTTAATATGGACATGTAAACTTCTCCATTGTGAGATCAATAAAGTTTATTTTATCTCATCTTACATTAATAGTACTGTATATTATTATTTAGCAGACTAAAGAACATTATATTTTCTTTAAATAAGAATAAAACTGCATCTAAATACAATAATGTATGTTTAAATTGATAGTTTAAAGAAAAATGTTACAAAGAATGTATTGGATGGATTTCAAAAACAGAAGAAGAATAGATCACATACATATCGTACAACACACGAACCAATCATTGTTACTTAAATGAAAGAGAGCAATTATATGATAACACTGGGTTGTGATAACATTTCCATATCCTGACATATTTAATCTAATAGAAAATATAGATAATCTTATATTGTGTATTTGAGAGGGAATATTAGATGAGCACATGGGCATAAGGCTGACAGGACCGTTCCTTATTGGCTAGGAATCCACATGTAATTTACTCATTCTGGACATTCCATGGAGCGTGGGTTTTGAGAGAAATGCATCAAAATGACATGATAGAAAAAGCAGTATTGGAAATATTTTCTATGTGGACCGAAAATGTTTATTTTTGAGTTACGTTGTTGATTTGTTGAGCCGGAGTGTGTGGCGGGAGTTGAAGGATAAGCACTCTTGCAAATTACAACCATCTTCAATTTTCCACATCAAGGCTTTTCGGTGGGGAGAAAGCCGCGCATCCTGTTTCCAGAATGCCCTTGAGAAAGAACTAATGTTGGCAAAAAACTTTTCTGAAGTGCTGTATGGCCTTCTTCCCCTCAGCTGCTCCCTTTTGCTTAAATGTCAGGCGCTGGTTAAAGTGCAGAGCAGGGCCGTTTGTCTAGTCAGCATCATTAGGACTATTTAGCCGGAAGACAGCAGGTCACAGCGGCCACACCATCTTTCACACGTAAACACTGTTACGGCTGACTCAGGAACACGGACACGCCCACTTCCTGCTGCTTCTAGATTACACATGGACGAGGCTGTGATTGTTGTATCTCATCCTGTTCAGCCTCCTGTCGCTGCAATCACAGTCTGATACCGTTATGCCCCGAAGGCTTAAACACACCTTTGTAAATAGCACTAAAGAAACACACCAGGGATATTATTAGCACGCCTTAATGAAGCCTGTTTTCTGCAACACCTTTATGGGTTTATTCTGTTGAGTATTAATCAAATAAAAAGCATTGGTCTAAGTAACGTTCTCTCCATCTTCATCTCTTTGTTCTTGATATGACATAATGTTAGTAAAACTCACACTGAGTATGTATTAGTCTCACGTCACATTTTCAAAAATAGATACTAACAAGTCTTGAAAAAGAAATTTTCAAATTATAGACATTTCAATTACATTAAAATGTGTGTCACGTGTGTCCATTTTGTATCTTGTCCACCAAATTTACAGTCGTTTTGGAAATGAACACCAGGACTGTGACTGTTTAAACGTTCATCATCTCTCTCCAAGCAGGATTTTTAAAGTACTGAACTTAGATTGCAAAGAATTGTATTTATAAAATGAGAATACTATGATTGTAACTTTAAGCCTTTACTTTTATCAACAGCCCAATTGTCTCGTAGCAGGTAATGTTTATAATCTGTTTGTGCAGATTCAGGGTTGACTTTGTCTTAGAGTTTGTGTAAGCTCTCAGTCGTATAGGTAATATTCAAAACAAAGGAAGATTGCTCACCCGTCATCTGTAATTCAGATAACAGAAATTTCTCAAGAAATAAGTGTTTTAGATTAATAAGAAACATCGAAAAACCTAACTGAAGAACAGATGATGGGTTAGCAACCTTCTTTTGTTTTCTCTTGAAATAGCAAAACGAGATGGACTCATACAACATGATCATCAATGGCCAACAGCTCATTCACCATTTAGACAGTATTGAGCAAAATAAATTATTTCTGAAGAAAATATGATTGTGCCTGAGTGTACAAGACCCACTGACCAAAAACATATTCAAATCTGACGTCACCCACACAAATGAAAAAAATCATGACAAGATTCAAGATACAGAGTTCCGGACCTCATGAACCCCAATGCTGTGTATTAAGATCTACAGTCTATGGTCCGGCCATGTTTGACGTGAAAGCTAACACTATTGGAGGACTTACGTGGGCTGCTGCGGGCCTTCTCGGGTGATGACGCCCTCTTTGTCCATCAGCATCTGTCGGAACGTGCTCACTTTCTGTCGGATCTCCTCCTCTGTGTACCTGGGAGACAGTGCAAAAGATTTGTTTAAAAGCTGATACATGAAACGTATTACATTTTTCAACTGGATATACTAGAAAAATGAATATTAGACTACTGGGAAATTACTGCACAGTTTCAGTTTGCAGAATATTACAGTTCAAGGGTAAAGGTGTCTAGAAAATCTACAAATCTATGTTTCAGCCATAAAGAAAACACATTACCAAATGAAATACTAGCTCATAATAAGATCACATAAGCAACCCTTTTCATCGCACTTTTGGGAAAATGCATATTGTTATTGTCGCACACATTACAGGACAGTGGAAAAACTCTGGAGGAACTCAAACAAGACACTTTTAGGACACTCAAAGATGTTCCACATGTCATTATTCATTCACTCTGTACACGGTGATAAACTACTACTGCACCATTCACACACAAACTAGACTCCTTCTAGGTAATGTGGGTAAAGTGTCTTGCCTATGGACACAACAACATTTCGCAACTGCCTCACTGTGGCACCCAAGTGTTCCCAGAGGTCTTCCATCACAGTATTTACCAAGCCCTGCCCTGCTTAGCTCCAGAGGTCTTACAGGATCTGGCGTTCACATGCAGGTGGCATGTAGGTAGCATCATATTTAAATAGATAAATACACTAATCTATGTGCCTTTAGTCTCACATAATCTTAGCCAAATGATTTTATCTGTAATTGCAGTCGGGAGACAGCTGCTCATACACATACACATATATATAATGAAAACTATTCTTTTCCCTCACGTATAAATGCATCAACCAGAGTCACACACAAAGCTGCAGTGAAGCAATAAGTAATGAAAAACCCCATTCGTACCTTGCATCTTGTTTTATTACTGCTATTTTGTGCGACGGCTGCACAATAAATTGACCTTTTACGCTTTAGTTCCATTGTGAGCGTGAATGTGGGCCGGGGTATGCGACGAATGAATCAGACATGGAAACACATATTTTATGCATTCAGACAGAAGCACCATCCAGCACCAGCAGGACGCACTGACAGCCCGAGAGATGGCTGTGACCATCCCCTGCACTGTCCCACTATTGTCAGTGTCTTTAGTGAGAACAGCTCCAGGCTTGTTCAATTCTTTTCCTCTTAATAAGCAGCGGTAACTACAGACACAGGCACCAGGAAGATCAGGAGACACATTAAGTAAGTAAGTAAGTAATGTTTATTTATATACCACCTTTCACAGACCAGAGTCACAAAGCGGTTTACCATTGTTATTTTTTGGGCATTTGTCCTCTCACTCCACACAGAGATGGGAGCGGGGTCGCCAGTACAGGAGACCTATTGTACATATTTTTAGTGATAGGGGAAACCGGAGTACCCGGAGGAAACCTACGCAGGCACAGGGAGAACATGCAAACTCCACTCAGAAAGGCTCTGGCTATTCATTTGACAGTTTGCCATCTCCTCGCTCAAGTCTTAAATACAATTGGGACTGTTACGACAAAGTATTATAAAATACAAGAGTTCTTATTCTCAAGAACATTTTCTGCACCTGATAGTTTTCGATATTAGTATTAGGGTCACAAATAAAACATAATGTATGTTTTTAATGGCATGGACAACAAACATACAGTAAATAAGTCACATTAACAGGAAAAGATGTGAGATTCTCTGAGTAGTTTTTAAAGGATTTTGAATTAGCACAAAACCTATACTATAAAAACTATATATGTATGAACATGTAGCATTAGGTTGTATTGCTATTTATGTTAAAAGCATTTTATTGCATATTCATATTATTTTTTGTATGGATCAGGCAGGACTAATGCCTCTGATCTTCTGCACATATGGATCAGAGTCAAAATGAAAAAAAAAGGACTGACTCACTCCAAAAGGATATTTTTTGAATCTTTCATTTCTACATGGCAATCATCTTAAAATGCCAATGTGTTTTGGTGTTAAAGATGATCAAGCATTGAGTATCCAATCTACTTCTTAGTATCGAGATGGAGTTTGTAAATCCAGTATAATGACAACACCAGTACCATTTACAATCTCACTCATTCGAAACATTCTTTAAATTTACCATAAAATTGTGTTCATAATAGCATGGTGATTGCCTGCACAACCCCTGCAGCAGCATGGCCGTAACTGTACTCGTCCAAATCCTTCATCCCTCCTGATAAACTAACCTGCAAATGACGGTGGCACATTTGAGCGTGAAAAGTGCATTACCTTTGCCGAGTGTGTTTGCTCCCCTGGGATTTCATATAAAAAAAAGTCTATATCTTGTACTTTGGGCCGCGGCGCTATCGGCCCCTCTCCAGTGCAGAGAATGAGATTTGGACGAGTGTGATAGAGTGCTGAAATAGCTGGAAGATGGCCCCAAATGTGAGGTATAAGCCAGCCCTATTTGACAGCGCCATCAGGACCTGCCGCTGTACTGCAATCTCTCCACTCTGGTGCCTGTCAGCTCAGCACAATACCAGCCCCTATGACCATACATTAAAGCCGCCGTTGCCACGACCGCAGATGTCTGTTTTGCCCTCACAACACAATGGGAAATATCAAAGAATATTCCTTTCTGTGCTTTGTCCAAAAAAGTATATAAAGGTGGTGGTTTTTTCAGAGCTGGTCGACTTGTTAGTGCTTGAAATTATCTCTGTCCGTGGTCTTTTATACTGTGGATCCGGAGAGAAAGGGTCAAAAGCGCGGAACAAAACTCTTGAATTTGACCCACACAACCTCCCAGTCACCTCTGCTCTTTTTGCTTTCTCTCTGTACAATACTGAACAGCTTTTTTTGGGAACAACAGGCTGTTTTAAGTGTAATTCAAGTCCGTTTTGAGAGCGTGCTGAGATTGAGTTTTATAAGAGAGTAACAAAAAAGAGAGGTGAAAGACAGATATCGCAGTGTGAGTCTATAAAACCTTTTGCAGCAGGTTGCAATGGACAGATACAGAGTGAGCGGCGAGGTAAGAAGAAAGAAATGAATTCAATAAAAAATGAATAGAATAAAATAGAATAGTTAGACCAATGGTGAGGGGGCCTCAGTTGTCTATCAAAGGTTTTAATTAATTACAATTTTGGATTTTGGGTCTAACTGGCCCTTCAATTCTGCTAACGTCTCTTCATCTTAAAACAATGAAAAAGAGTAATTGACTTGCACTCCATTGTAAATTAGAGATTTTCAAAACCATGTTTAAAGTTATGGTGATAAAAAATGGGACGACATCTCAAAGAGCGTCTGTATATTTTGCTGGATGTGAAGACGGGACAGGATTTGGCCGATGCAGGATGATTGGCAGAAGACGACACAAGAGCTTCTCTTCTCTGTACATTTAATTAACACTTATTCCAGCTGTGACGCTCGCTGACTCGCATTTGCCGTCTGTTCTGCCCCGCCACTGGCAACTGTGCACTACAAAGGCTTCACGCATAGACTTGGCCACTGTGAACAAAGGTATCTGTTTCATAAATAAGCTTTTAGGCTGTCTATAAAGCTCAGTCTCAAACAAAGGGCTAATAAAGATGTTTTTGTTTTTTTAGGAGATGAATCTGAGTTAAATGACTCTCTCAAAACAAGCTCATTTCATGAAAGCAAATGGGGAGTAGTTAAAATATACAAATTGTGGCTGTTAAATTATGCTTCAGTCAATGTTGCAAAAGATCCATTACTTAGTGCGTTTGTCAATAACAGCTCATTTACTTGAAAGTGAAATAAATGCTTTCACACGAAACAAAATAGAGAGCTGCAAAGCTGTGATTTATAACAGCTACAACAACAAAAGAAAATATAATGGAAGTTAAATGGAATGTCGCAAATGGTGTCAAATCACAGTGCCATGAAAGAGTCTTTTTTTTTTCTTTCTGTACTTTTTGAATACTGTATTTATATTTCTGGCAACGTTTACTCCTTACGTTAGTCAGTTTTGTCAATATTAGTGCTTTACTCCTGATATTTGAAAACCTTTGAGCCTCAGATGATGGTCATACAGTAGACAAACGGATTTAAGATGAGCAGTTTAGTAATTTAGTACAACTATTTACTTATACAATGAACAACAATAGCCACACACAGAGGAAAGTAATGAAAAACATGATTCAAAAAGGTTCATGTTGTCTTGAGTTAAATACGTGTTATGGTTCTTTTGACTAACTTGTCTGAAGAAAAACATACTTATCTAATTCAACAGCACAACAAATATTTCTCTCTTTGATATGTTTTCAGCATTTTCTCTGCAAGCTAAGAAAAGTATATATCATTAAAATGCAGGAACTAATGCAACCTTCTTACTTGCAAAACTTCCAGCATAACTACTATCTGGGTCTGTGATGCGATTTCTCAAAAACGGCACTAAGATCTTTAAAAATCATTCCGCGGCTCCAATCAAAGCCGTGGCATAGACTTTGAGTGAAGAGGGACAGGGTACATTGATTAGTGACAGGGCCTCCCCATCCACCCCCTGCCATGACAAATTACCACAATTAAAGAAGTTGATTGGAGTAATTAGACAGCTCTGAGGAGGAGCCGATTCCTTCCATTACCTTGCGGTCCTGGGAAATGAATCGTTGTGGCACTCAAGTTGATAGTCATCGATTTGGTGCGCATGTGGCTATGTCTGTGCGCAGCCGAGCCCAACACCTGAGAGACGCATTTTCCACAAGTCGTCCCCAGGCTCTGCTCTTTTGAATCGCTTGGAAAACACAGGCACGATGGGAGAGGGATGCGCCGAGCTGAGCCAATGCAGTTAGCCAGATTGAACCCAGCGCGAACATTGGACGGCAAAACGTAGTAGTTATGTAGTAGAAGTTGTTATGTTATTTATTGTGGGGTGGATTCGAATGATGCCCTGGCTACACAAAAACGACCAGTGAAGAGGATACTATTGATGCTGTCCCATATAAGAAGCCATTTTCTCACTACAGATCCACGTTTTTGGACTCGTGTTCAAACGCCGGGTCGTGTCAAGATTAAGAACGCAAAGCTTGTTTTAATAACAAGGGTTTAATTCAACTCAATTTATTCTTGTA